TGGGAGCAGGGGATGGAGCCTTCCTTTTTTTTGAAAGTCCAGCACCAGCTTTCTGCTCTGACTCCACCACTGGAGAAGAAGAGCTGTATGTTCGAACTTCGAGAGCCTTGCTTGTACAGTTTCTGGCAGGAAGCTGAGGTGCATTGACATGCTGGTGACTCTGCTACAGAGATCCCTGCTTGCTTCTGACTATGAACAGCATTTTTCTGCTCTGGCTTGTAGGATCTGTATGCATTAGCTGGAAGTTCTGAATCTGTGAGTACTGCCCCAGGATCTTGCAAGGGAACATCAAAGAATCTCTGGCAAGGGAATATGGACTTTACATTACAAAGGCTGGTCACATTTCCATATTGCTGACACCAGAGAACAGCTCACTCTGTTCAGGTGATTCCCAGCACCAGCTTTCTGCTCTGTCACCTCCACTGTGGGAGCAGGCGTTGGAGCCTTAAACTGAATGCCCAGCAGCAGCTTTCTGCTCTGGCTCTATCACTGGAGAATCACAAGCTACATATTCGAGGTTCCAAACTCTTCTCCTACCATTTTAAGCAGGAAAGGTGGGATGCCTTGGTATGCTGGTGACACTGCTGCAGAGCTGCCTGCTTGCTTCTGATGCCCACCATCAGCTTTCTGCTCTGGCTCCTCCAGAAGAGAAGCAGAAGCTGTAAGCATTATTTAGAAGTTTGGAGTCTGTGAGCACAGCGTCTGGATCTCGCATTTGAGCATCAAAGAGGAACAGTAGCAAGATGGACTTTATAATATAAATGTCTTGCAGATTGCCTTGTTGCTGAAATTGGATCACAGCTCACTCTGTGCTGGTGATTTCCACCAGCAGCTTTCTGCCCTGCCACTTCCATTATGGGAGCAGTGAATTGAGCTTTTCTTCGTTTGAATGTCCAGCAGCAGCTTTCTGCTCTGCTTCCTCCAATGGAGAACTAGAGACTTGTTTTTACCCTTTTAGGCAGGAAGATGATGTGCGTTGACATGCTGTGACACTGCCGCAGAGCTCCCTGCTTGCTGCTGCTGATCATCAGTTCCTCGGATCTGTATGTATTAGGTGAACTTTCGAAGTCTGTAAACACTGCTTGTGGATCTGGGAATCACCTGCACAGAGTGCTCCGCTCTTAGCAACATGGCAATGTGCACTACCTTTGTAATACATGGTCCATCTTCCTTTAGTTCGTCTTTGATTTTCATTTGTGAGATACAGGATAATTGCTACAGACTCCGAATGTCCTGCTAATGCATAGAGAGCCGAGGACCCACTGCTGATAGCTTCTGCTGGTCGTCAGAAGCAACTAGGGACTTCTGCAGCAGAGTCACCAGCATGCTGATGCAAGTCAGATTCCTGCCAAAAAGTTTAGAAACTTCTTTTAGAAGTGTGAATATACAGCTCTGCTGCTCCAGTGGAGGAGCCAGAGCAGAAAGCTACTGCTGGGCATTCAACTGAAGGAATGCTCCATCACCTGCTCCCACACTGGATGCAGCAGGGCAGAAAGCTGGTGCTGGGAATCACCTGCACAGAGTGAGCTTTGCTCCAGTTTCAGCAACACAGCAATGAGCACGACATTTATAATATAAAGTCCATCTTCCTACTGTTGGACTTGAGGTTCCCTTGCCAGATCCAGGTGCGGTGCTCCCAGATTCAGAACATCCTGCTAATGCATACAGATCCGAGGTGACCAAGCAGAAAGCTGCTGCTGGGCATTCTGCTGAAGGCTCCATCTCCTGCGCCCACAGTGGAGGTGGCAGGGCAGAAATCTGGTACGGAGAATCCCCTGCACAGAGTGAGATGCGCTCCAGTGTCAACAAGATGGCAATGTGCACTACCTTTGTAATGTCAAGTCATTCTTCCTTCAGTTCCTCTTTGATGCTCAAATGAGAGATCCATGCACAGTGCTCAAAGACTCTGAAGGCCCAGCTAATGCATATAGATACATGGAGCCAGAGCAGAAAGCTACTGTTCATAGTCAGAAGCAACCAGGGTTCTCTGCAGCAGTGTCACCAGCATGCCATGGCAACCCAGCTTTCCTGCTTCCCAGTGGTAGAGGGAAGGCTCTCAAAGTATAAATATACAGATTCTGCTTATCCAGTCAAGATGACAGAGCAGAAACTTACTGATGGGCATTCAACTAAAGTCTCATCCCCTACTCCCAGAGTGGAGGCGACAGAGGAGAAAGCTGGTACTGTAAATTACCTTCACAGACTGAGCTGTGCTCCAGTGTTGGCAACATGGCAATGCACACTACCTTGGTTATGTAAAGTCCATCGTCCTACAGTTCCTCTTTGATGTTCCCTCCCCAGATCGAGGTGCAGTGCTCACAGACTCCGAACGTCCAACTAATGCATATACAGCCTAGGAGCTAGAGCAAGCCTAGCCTTCCAAGCAGGGGGATGACAGCCAGGTGAGAGAGGCACATGGAAAAGGCATTGTGGCATCCCTGTTCATGGGGATCCTCAGCACAGCCCTGAAGATCTGCACATAGGACCCCACAATGAAAGCAAAACGCTCAAAGTATAAACAGGCACTGACCACAAAAACCCCAACTTCCCTGAGGTATAAAGTTGAACAGGAGATCTTGAGGATCTATTTTCTAGAAGATAGCACAAGGCTCAAGCAAGGGTCATATGAATTTGAATCAGCCCTCTTGCACCCTATAAACAAGAAATAATGTATTTAAATACTGTTTGCTACTTTTTATGATGTATACAAGGAATAGATTTTTGAAGTATAATTGATCCTGATATCATCCCAGTGACTGCATTAAGAAGACAAAAATTATAAGCTTTGCTGTAAAAGCATGCAGTTAAGTTTCATCATCATGACATGAAATCTCATAGTAAGACTTGCTATATATATGTTCTGTCAATGGTTACATTCCCAGTTGAAGGTAACTGAGTTTCCTCCACCAAAGCAAGCTGTGCAGCTTTCAGGTACCTTTATAGGATGTGCCCGGAAGATAAATGCAGGCATGAATCTCTTCTCCTGCACACTTCCCTGTGTGGGCTTGTTTGCTGAACAGTTTATATGGGGCTTAGGCATGCTGCCTGCAGGGCTTCTGCTGCTGCAGATCCTGTAAGAAATTTAAAGAGGGAACTGGTTTGGGTCAAAGAAACACATGAGGATTTTGGGTTTTTTGGAGTCCGAGGATTCCCTGTTTGCTACCCAACAAATACTTCTTCCTGTAAGGAAGATAACAAAAACTATGTGAAAAAAATTAGTTCATGACAAAAGTTTAGGACATACATTACACATGTGGAGCAATTAGATGGGATCTTCTCAGGCAATGTGGAACATTTGTGCAGGATGCCTCCCTAACAGCAGTGCAGTAACAAGGAGGTCATGGTAATTTTCTTTATACATCTATATTACACATTTGCTCAGCTTGAGGTCTAGTGGGCTGTTGCCAAAGCCTGCGTGTCCTTTGGCTTTACTTTCCCAGCACTGTCATACCCGAATACAGTTCTGCTTTCCATGACAGGATTTCCTGGAAGAGTACCAAAGCTATCTTGGCTTTAATCATTTGTTTGGCAGCAAACTGGCTGTGAAAGTACTCACTCCATCAGATTTCAGTCACCTAGCATGCAGTGTGTCCCCAGCTTCTCTGTCACTCCAGCTTGGTAAATGCAGCTTTTTGAAACACCGTGTGATGAGCAAAACAATATGGGAGGAGGAAAAACAAATAAAGCAGAGAGTGGTTTAGGCTTCCAAGTTTATTCCCATTTCCTAATCTTGATCAAGCAGTGACCAAGCATTGACCTTGTGACATTTTCTGCTACCACAAATTACCATTTTGACCTGGCTTTGTAAATATAAACACCATTAAATGACAGGCGAGCCCAAGGAATGTAAGTGGAAAATGCTTCTTATTTGGGAAAGTTACAAAAATAATCTTGATTCTTTTCTGGAGCTGTGAACACTTTTTGTGTGTCCCTGAACATTCTTAACTCAACCTCCTCAGCCTGAACCTAAGGATATTTCCATGCAGGACTCATCTGGTATCAACAGGATTCCTCTATAGGGCTCTGTTTTGGCGCAGCTGCTTCCTTTTATTTCCCATGTGTCTCGGTGTGGTATCTTGAACTGTGCTGGGGATCAGGGCTGCAAGCAGGTGCATGTAGCTTCTCTTCACTGTAACATCCCATCTCAAAAGCCAAAGGGAGAGGGAATGGGGTAAACTCCAAGCTCACACACGCAACATATATCAGAAGAACCAGGTTTTCTTGACCAAGTTTTCTAAAATCTCTGCCTCAAAGCCTGTTTCTGAAACAAACGGTGATTACAGCAGGTCTACATGAGGCACAGGTGCGTGGGTGCCACATGAGGGGCACAGCTTGTGTAGGTAATGCTGGTCATCTACCTGAGAGGTGGCTGTAAGACACTGAGTGCAAGGGGTCTGGGACTTTGTTCCTGTGCTGCCTCAGGGACTAGTTAGCAAGATTTCTCAGAAATAGAGTCTCTGCTTTCTGCTGGTTCCTAGTCCATTGCTAAGCCATAATTGCTTTCCCCCTCATTACCATCCATCCAAGGACAAAGGCTGCTGAGGTGCACACAGGTTGCCTAGCAAAATCAAAATGCAGCAAATGAAACAAGGACAGGAGCTATTTGAAGGAGTTTGGTGCTGATTGTCTACTGAAATGGATGACAAGTGGAGAACAAACAGAAAGGCTGACTAAAGAGGAATGGTTAGAGGACAGATAGAGACTGGATAATACCTCAAGTGGGAGATGCTGTCTGTTTAGGTGTGCGACAAAAGGCTCCCTTGGTAAGCAAACTGCTTCTACACTACTGCCATAGTAACATATGAATTTGATTGCTCCAATGGAGCATTGCAGCAGTCCAGTTAAAAAAGAAACCGACTCCTGAGAGGTTTTCATCAACAGCTTTGCTGCTAACTAAACCAGCCTTGGTATGATGCAAAAGACAAGTTTTGGAAACTTTTAACCCTTTCCTCTACTGCTGTCACATCCGTTTTAAAGCACAATGCTACCCTCATACACAAACTAATGTCTAGCTTATAATTGGTTTTGTTCATATGTACAAACCCCAGTAAAAAAAGTTGAACACAATATACACACTGGGAAATACAATCTTGGAATATTTGTCAATAACATGATTGTTCTGTAAAATAATCCTGCCCACACTTCCCTTCAGAGATCTCTTCCTCTTTATGTGAGCTGTGTCTACATTGGAGGCACTGGCTGCACGTGCCCGAGTCTCATTCTCTTCACAGCTGTCTGAAAAAGCAGTCAGGTCCATGTCCACATCCGTGTCATGAAAGCAGCCATCAAAAGCCATTGCTTGCACAGCAGCAATACTATACATTCCTGAAGCCTGGCAACAAAAAACAGTTATTCTGTATCTAGCAGGAGCCATGCTAGTAAATTATACATAAATAAACCAGAAAATAAAGGAAGCTTTCTCTTCAGTGTTGCTCCTTCTGTGGAGAGCATATGGAGAACAGGGCTATCCCACAGCATTGCTACCTGTAGAGCCTGCCCCAGAGACAACAAAAAATTTGTGCGTTTTCCCCCCACGAAATTTCAACAAAGGAGGTTACATATAGGGGTATTCTTGAAGAAAAGGTTTTAAGTGAGTGCTTCATAGAAAGCAAATGTTCAACTTGTGCACATTTCTGCTTCAGGCACACTTTTCTAAGAATGACCTTTTCATTCATTGGGTCTTGGGAGAAAAAGGCATCATTAAACTCATCTTCTCGGTTAAAAATGGCAAAGCAGGAGAAGGAAAAATACACAATGCTTCACAAGAAATGGGAAGTAAAATCACATGACTGCATTCTGTGGTATATCTCAGAGAGAAGAAAACCACTTTGATCAATAGGTATTTTGAGAAGAGAATGAAAACTACCTTCCTCTGGGGAGAGGGGAATCAGGAGGTGAACTCCCTAACCTCTGCCACAAGAAAAGGAAGAAAGTTTTCTCAAGATCTCACAGAGGATAATAAATTTCCTCCCTTCAGCTAAGTAAAGTAAAGTGAGATACAGAATGGAGTCACAGACATGGTTACTGCACTGATTCTCACAGTGGTCTATCTGGATTACTCTGTGGTTTCTGTGATGCTTTCTAAAGGCAACAAAACACAGAGAAGACTGTACCTGGCCCCGTTTTCTTAGTTGCTTTCTCTCTTCAGTTGTGGTGAGATAGTTCACTGCTGCATATTCAATGACTGACAGGAAGACAAAAAGGAAGCTGGTCCATAAATACACATCCACAGCTTTTATGTAAGACACTTGAGGCATTGAGGCACTTACTCCTGTCATGATGGTTGACATTGTCAGCACTGTAGTTATACCTGCCAAAGAAAAAGGTGAGGTTATCCTAATACTGGCCAGTTTGGATCATGAACTTTGCTTAGACAGAACAGCTCTGTGAGGGCGTATCGTTGACACTCCCTGTATCTTCATTGCACAGGCTCTGAAAAGTGGAGTGAACCATGAAAGCCTATCACGTACAATACTGAAACAAGTAAACCATCTCTTTGCTCAGTGCGTGCAGTTAGAGCTGTGGCACACCAAGTTTGAACAGTGGGAACAGTGGGAACACAAGAATGGTGATTCAGCAGCGTAATTCTGTGAAATTAAAGAAATTAATTAAATGAAATTTATTTAATTAAATAAAATTAAAGCACACATTTCTGTGACAGCTTTAAGCACTGCTGCAGAGAGTGAAAGCAGATTTGTGGGCTTCCCTCACTTCCCAGAGCCAGGGTCTCCACTTTCTTGTCCGAGAGAATCACGAAAGAATCACCAGTTTCCCTCCCAACCCTTCTCAAATTGTACTTCTTGAGAACAGCTTGTATGTCTTTGTCATTACTCCATGTCTTTCTAAAAACACTCTAGCATAAAAATGCTATATTCATTAAAACTAAGAAACAGGTTTTGTTTACTTCAGAATGTCTAGAATTTCACCCTCATCCCCTCAATCTCTTCTTACATGCAGCTATTCATTTCGCTTTGCTCTGCCTCAGAAAAAAAAACAAGACCAACAACCAAATGAGGCCCTCTTTTAAAGAGATGAATGTAACACTGGAAGTGAAGAAATACTAATAATACCCGTGAGACAGAACTGGCTGATGGCATGGCTTTTCATGCTGGGTCTAACTGTATACTTTCTCCAGCTTTATGCTAGTTCAAGTCCATTGGAACTTACGGGAGTTTCCCCTCTCCCTCTCTGCAAGTTCCTTAGGTTGAAAGATGGTTTTTGAAATATACCACGTAAGAGGAAATCAATTTATTTGAAATAAGTATACTCTATGCCAGGTTGCTAAGCTTTTTAATTTTTGATGTTAACATTGCCTGTATGCTTATGCTAATGAAATGTACATTATCCACAGAACTCCCAATGCATAACCATCTGCAGAAATCCTTATATAAATTAAAAAACATGATCAGCAAAACCATCTTGATAACATTATAAATGACCTACTGAGAATTAAGACTTTATTTTTAAAGTTAAAACTTCTTATAAACAAAAGGAGTTGCTAGATGTATTAATAAAACGAGGTATTATAATTTGTTTTCAACTAACATAGATTTATAACTCATGTATTAGTAACTTCAGCCTGCCAACAGAAAGGGATCTGAGGTAGCTACAGTCCTATTTTTTTCTAGATTGATATAGCTGTAGATAAAAGTTGAGGGCTCCCTCTGTACACGCAATTTTGTTTCTTAAACAAAGATCCTCAAATTTTCACTTGCCTAAGAAATATGGCAACATTCATATGGCTTCTGGGACTAGCATCAGTAAGAAGAAAGAACAGGAACTTCTTTACTAATTCTTAAGCCAACAGTTGCACAACACAGACGCATTATGGTTACATTAGAAAGCTTAACAAATTTTCATCAGATCTTCACAGAGATGCTAATCTGAAAAAAAAAAAAAGTACTCATTCCACTGCCATCAGCATTAAATTCCCAACAAAGACAGTCCTGAAGTGGTATTAACTGAAAACCAATAATGTTATTAAAAAAAACCCAATGTAATTAGTGATTTTCTCCTGAGCTGTGGTGTTCAGAACTAAAACTGTTAGAGCAGAAAGTTGCCCACAGTACTCTTTGGCTTCCTCAGAACCCTGTATGCCCTGTGCAGTTAAGGCACTAAAGGAAACATTTTCAAGGTGCCTAACAAAGAAAGGCTTTGCTACATAGGACAAATTAGGAAACTGGTTCCAAGTCAGGAGGAAGATATCAAGTGTTTCTAGAGAGAAAACAGAGCTGTAAAGCTGTAAAGCATGATTGCATTATGCCTATTAAGTATCTTATGAACCATGGATTTGGGGAGGGACTTGACTACCAGTTACTACCTGTTACTTTGCTGGGAAGAGGGGAGGAAAATCCCAGTCTGCGCAGGAAGAAAAAAGGAAAAAAAGTAATTCAGTAAAATCCTACATAAGGAGACCAGCAGAATCATTCCTTTTCCTTCTGTGTTGTGTGAGCTGTTCTCTAATATAGCAAAGCAAGTCTGAACAAACATCCCGTTTTAGTAGAGGTTGACTCCTTTAGGAGTTTGTGGTAATGACTACAGTAGCAATAATAGTTGTTCAGGCAAATACCTGATATAGTTGCTCATGTCCTGTGTAAATAAGAAGCTAAGGTAATTTCAAAACTTCTCCCCTATCCATTCTGTACTTCCCAGAAAAACATATGTTAAAGGTTTACCTAGTGATACCCTGGCAGGAACGGCTCTTCTGTCAATCCAAAATGAAACCCAAGACAGCATCACCATCAGCATGGCGGGGAAGTAGGACTGTAGCACAAAAAAGAAAATATGTCTCCGAAGCACAAAGTTTATAAAAAGTCGATTGTACCAACCTATTGAAAAAAGAGAGGAACACGTTGGGGGAGAAGAGAGCTGTGTTATTTGTGAGCTCTGTTCACTGGCCCTCTCCTTTCAACTGGAATGGTGTATTCTCATCAGTAACAGTAAACACCTAAGAAATAGTGCCACTACCTTGGTTTTATATAGTGCTTTATTAACTATCCTTCATCCCTCATTAAAATACTGCTGCCTTGGGATCAAAGCATCATGACTGCATAAATAAAATACTGTATTATAGCTGAGGTTATGAAATTGAGGAGAAAAAAAAAAGTTAAATAGACTTCAAGTGAAACTGCCGGGAGAATGCAGACAGAATGTAATTGTCCAGTTCAGATATGACAGTAAAGCCAAAACCCTTCCTCCCCTAAAAAGTAGCCTGCCTTCTCTCATGCTACAAATACCCAGCAGTAAACAGCGCTTTTCTTACCGCCATACAGGTTTGCCTGCCCAGCATTGACTTTAGAGGAAAAAGTGCCACCTAGTGAATTTTGGTGGCACAGTCTGTCTGCGCAGGAAAGCATGCGTGTTTCACCTCCTGTGATGGGAGGGAAATGAGTGAGGTGAAGACAAAAGTGGCTGGCTGCGCAGCATCTGCCTGACCCGTACAAATAGAGACATTAACAAGACTGTGTTGGAGCAGCCATGCTATCACAAAGAGGCTCTTTATAAAAAATATCAACAAAACCCCCATCTAATATTAAACATGCTTTATGTGTTTTCACTTCTGGAGAAGGTTTTTGGGCTTAAAAATTATTGTCTCAAAAATGGATTGAAATCGTTGATCCTTTGGAGGCCACTGAACTCCAAAAGCCTCAATGCTACACGTGTGGTTCTCGGAGGTGCACAGGAAATGATATGCAGAACCTAAAATGTGGGAGGCTGCTCCATGAGCAGCATTTTTGTCCATTTTTTGCCCAGGATTCTTCAGGGGAAGATGGCTTCGATTAGAGTTGTGCTGATGGTTCCCCACTATTACTTTAGGGGAAGGGTTTGTGTGTAATCATTTTCATCCAACAAGAAGCAAAATAAAAGAACAAGAGAAAGTGGAGCCTCCTGTAAGAAAGAAAACCTCAAAGTAAAAGAAAAGTATGTGCTTACAAAGGGCAGTGTTCTAACTAAAATATGGAACGCACATTGTTCAACTACTTCCCAGGATCCCTGTGACTTAAAAAAAAGTCTTTCCTTTCATCTTATCCTGCTGAGTAATCTCATCATCAAAACATCTGCATGTAAGTGTTTGTGGGGGTTGGAATGTGTCAAAGCTGGCAATTAAGAGTGACCATGGGAAGGAGGAACTTTAGTAGGCAATTAAGAGTGACCTGTCCCTGACTGGTACTTGGAAGATGTTGGAACTGGCAAGAAACAAGGACGTTGGAACTGGAAAAAGGATGTTGATAAGAAAATCAGATAGATCTTTCACCTGATGTAACTGCAAGGCAAACACAGATGTGCTTGGCTAATTGCTTGGAAGCATATAAATAATCTGTTCAATAAACGATCCAGCTTGCACTCTACCTCTGGGTCTGTGCCTCCATCCTCACAAGTGTTGAGTAGTTACACTGCAAAAAGTCAAATGTGCTGTGAAGGTGCTGCAAAGGCATGAGTATTGGGGTGCTGTGGGGTTGCTTTATTGTGCACAAGGCCATATCTGCTTGCATAACTGTTTTTTTATGAGAACAGCAAAGCAGAAAGAGTTCCCGGAACTCATTTTCAACACTCAGTGATAGCAGTTTGGTGGAAAACATCCCAGTCTCCTTCTTGCAACAAGAACAAAGTTGACATAGCTCTCAGTAAGGCACAGCTATGATAGTAAGGTATCACTCACCCTCTTCTCACATGACAATGGCTCTGGAGCTCTGTTCTTAGCTCAAACACAAGCAAAAGAAGGATCTGATCAAGCTGTGAATTCCTTAGTGCTTTAGCTGCATCATAATTTAAACCGGTATTACTGCATTCAATATCAGCCACCATAAACTTGAATGGATCTTTTTTAAATATAAAAAAAAGCTGTCCTATAAATAAAATACAGTAAATAAAACTATTTTCAGCTTTTCTGTATGTCTTCAAGGATTTTTTCCAAAGTGCTATGCATTTCATCATATTACTTTGATATCAAGGGTTATATCCACACTGAAATAAACTGCCTCAGACTGGTGAGTGCAGTAGCAAACATGCTGTTTTATCTGGTTAAAAACATACGGTTAGACTACTTATATAGAGAAGTATTTAAAAATTTATAACTGCATGTACAAATACAAAGAAAATAAAACCCACCTTGCATGAAATCAAGGCTGTAATAAATTCCTAAAGCCTTGTGCAGTTTGCCAGAAAGTATTGTTCAAGTTCTATAGGGAGAAATAAAAACCTGTCTGGGGCAGATACAGTATCACAGTATCACAGTATGTTAGAGATTGGAAGGGACCTCGAAAGATCATCTAGTCCAATCCCCCTGCCGGAGCAGGAACACCTAGATAATGTTACACAGGAATGCGTCCAGGCGGGTTTTGAATGTCTCCAGAGAAGGAGACTTCACAACTTCCCTAGGCAGCCTGTTACAGTGTTCCATCACCCTCACTGAGAAGAAGTTTCTTCTCAAGTTTAAGTGGAACCTCTTGTGTTCCAGTTTGTACCCATTACCCCTTGTCCTATCATTGTTTGCCACTGAGTAGAGCCTGGCTCCATCCTCGTGACACTCCCCCTTTATATATTTATATATACTAATAAGGTCACCCCTCAGTCTCCTCTTCTCTAAACTATAGAGACCCAGCTCCCTCAGTCTTTCCTCATAAGGGAGATGCTCCACTCCCTTAATCATCTTAGTTGCCCTGCACTGGACTCTCTCCAGCAGGTCCCTGTCCTTCTTGAACTGAGGGGCCCAGAACTGGACACAATATTCCAGATGGGGTCTCCCCAGGGCAGAGTAGAGGGGAAGGAGGACCTCTCTCGACCTAATAACCACCCCCCTTCTAATACACCCCAGGATGCCATTGGCCTTCTTGGCCACAAGGGCACAGTGTTGGCTCATGGTCATCCTGTCGTCCACTAGGACCCCCAGGTCCCTCTCCCCTACACTGCTCTCTAACAGGTCGTTCCCCACCCTATACTGGAACCTGGGGTTGTTCCTGCCCAGATGCAGGACTCTACACTTTTCCCTTGTTATATTTCATCAAGTTATTCCCTGCCCAACTCTCCGGCCTGTCCAGGTCTCGCTGAATGGCAGCACAGCCTTCTGGCGTGTCAGCCACTCCTCCCAGCTTAGTGTCATCAGCAAACTTGCTGATAGTACACTCAATTCCCTCATCTAAATCATTGATGAATATATTAAATAATACTGGTCCCAGTACTGACCCTTGAGGCACTCCACTAGATACAGGCCTCCAACTAGACTCTGCCCCATAGACTACAACCTTCTGGCTTCTCTCCTTCAGCCAGTTCACAGTCCACCTCACTACCTGATCATCAAGAAAGTGTTACACTGGTAATGTAAGGAAAAACAAGGACCTGGGCCAACAGACCAGTGTAATTGAGAGACCTCATTTTAACTGAGAACTTTTTAAGCAGTAACAGTCATTTATTAGCAATGAATTTGAAAAGTAATTCTGCATGATTGTGTCCTGTGCTTCACTCTTCTAATGACAAGGGCTTACTGTACCAGTACTGCTGTAAAAAGCTAGTCCACTGGAAGCACTGAATTCTTCAATGAAAAATTGGGAGAGGGAGATGTGCTCATCTGTGCTCAGAGACTTGTTTCCGTGTTTCCAGTATAACATCAGATCGTCTTCATTGTATGCATCTACGAGAAAGTAAAAAATAAATCACCTCTTCTGCTGGTATAATGCTTTTGTTTTATTTTTCTTAGGGATAAGAGACCACTCAAACTATTTGGGAAAACCCCAAAGAAACACTTTTTTTCACATCAATCTGCCACTTAGTTGACATGGAAAATTTTCAAAGACCACATTCCATCTGGTTCTAAGTGGACCCCAGTCCTATGCCCTGTCACCAGCTCACCTGACAGATGGGGGAACCTAGGCGAGCTCAGGGTCACAGGGCATTTAGGAGCAGAACACTGGAACTGCAACACTGAGCAGACTGCCTGAACACTGGGGATCTGTTCTCTTCTCCAAAACTGAACTACAAACCAGCATTCCAGTTTTACTCATAATCCAAATAGAAATAAATTTTGACATAGCAAAAGGCTTAGCAACACAGAATTACTGTTTGTTCCCAGCTTTACAATTTACTACAGACAACTGAGTCAGGGATGAGAAAGCAGATACTTCACAGTAACACAAGCACTTGTTTTCATTGCTTCATGAGATTAAATATTGACATTTTACTTCTAACCTTTTTTTTTCCAGAAAAAAAAAGAAAAAAAAAACTGAAAAAAAAACCCACCATGATTTTTGACAGAGGAAACATTTTTAGATTCAGGCCTTGGAATACCAACCCAGTCAAAACAAAGCAGGGTGCATCATAGGTTTTTTATCTTCCCAAAGCTCACTAAGTTCTGTAAAGATCCCAAACTGGTCACAATTTAACCTGGGTTATTGAAGGGTTATTGAAGGGTTCAGGTCACATGTCAAAATAAGTTGAAAAGGTATTATTAATAAGATGGAGTATGGAATGCTGATAAGAATGCACATGTGAAGAACAGGTATGCATTAAACTTACAGCTTTCCAGTTCTAAAGAGCAATTCTGGGTGTCCAGAGGAAACCTACTGAAATCCATGAAACACATAGCAGAAACTGTTATTCTGCAGAAAGAAAGACAAAAACAGAAATTAAATGAAAAATTTCACACTATCTTTGAGCTGGGCAGACAACTTAGTGTGACTCCCGACCAGTCTGCCGCTTAGAATCCTAATGGTTGAGTTTTTCAAGTTTTTTTAGATGCTTCTAAAATTGCTTCAAGATAGTGAGATAAAACTAGATCAGTGATAACACATTTTTTAAACATAATTAATTAGTCTTTCTTACTGAGCGCATTACCTTTGTTTTTTAAACCTTTTACTGGCATGATCCTTCATTAGCCTTTCATACATTTTACTTTGAAGGGTTACACTTAGGAAGATTAATAAGGGGAGTTCACAGTTCTTGACCGAATTTCTCAACCGAATTTCTCATAGATTGAAGTACATATTACAGATTACAGCAAATATTATTCCAAATGTTTCCCAGCTAGAATGCTTATAATATTTAATTGCATAAAAAGATAAGCTGCAATTTCTGGAAGCTTACTCTCCTTTTCCACACCATTTAAATGCCTTATACTCTAAAAAGCTTAAGGAAGTCTAGAAAAAGACATTATTTTGCATTCTACCTGATTTTTCAGCAGTGTTTAGAAGATGTATATCCCTTGATATTTTAAACAATAAACAGGCTAGAGGCAGCAATTTAAATATGGTGAATAATACCAAATTTCCCTTTCTTGTCATTTGATGTTTTAGTTTGACTTTTCAGTTTTTCCCAAACTGAATTCTACAGTTTAAGTATGAGAGCTATACTGGTTATATAAGCAATCTTTGAAAACTGCTGGTTGGTAAACACACTTAAACTTTACAAGTCTACGATTCTACTAGCTTGTAATATGATTGTAAGTGTGGCACATCTTTAAAATCATGCATAATACTTCCAACTACAGATGATGTTTCTATCTTCCAGCTATTGACTAAAGGATCAGGGGAAAACCAAGAAAATGTTTTTGAAAATAAAAGACTGTTTTAGCACAAATCTGGATTTTTGTTCCACTTTGCTTCAATAAAATCTTGGATGCTATGCTCTAAAGAAAAACTGCAGAATATGCAGATTTCTTGCATGTTAAGTATTTGGAATATAAGCTACCCTCTGCATGTAAAACTGGCAATACAAAAAGGGTGTTTTAATGAACATCTGATTCTCTTGGAACATACACATTAATAGCACTAAGCTAGAAAAATAATGTTTCACCTTCATAATTTCAAAACTTTAGTTCACCAACCTTTAGGGCACCCCTTTCCCTGCCTCTGGTAAGAGCTGATAGAGAACGAAAAGGACAGGACACCTGCCCTTTGTGCATATGTCCAGGAAGAAATCCACAGGTTTGGCAGGAACTTTGGGGCTTTCTATTCACTGGCACAGGAAGGTGAAGCTGGCTGCAAGCTCACCTGGCAAAGCAAGGAGGAGTCATCCAGTATACACCATCTGGTAATGCTGAGTTAGGAAAAGGTAACTGTGGGAGCAGAGAGGACAAGGGCAAGGAAGAAAAACAGAGCACAAGCTTGCAAATGTGGTGTAGGACACAGGACAAGGGCTCCCATCAGAGGGGATTCTAAGCAATGAGCAAACTGATTCACACTGTATCTGTCCCTCAGATCTGCTTTCCCCTTTTCCTTCCCTCCCATTATGCTTTTTCCTTTCTCTCCATTTCTGTCCTGCACCTCACATGCTATCTTTGGTTTGTAACTACTTGTGCACAATTTCTTGCTTTTATCTTGATGACACTTTACCTTTCCATTAAGCTGACAGAATGTGCTCTCCCATCTTAAGTCTCTTCATCACTCTTTCTTCCATCAGCTGAATGTATGTCTTACCCCTCATGTGGAGTGCCACTGCTGTAAGCCTTAGTGTTCCCAATCTCTCTCTCATGAAGCATGGAAATACAGCAATAAAATGCATACTTCACCTCATTATTTCTTACTGATCAGTGTGATTCTTGAGCATACACTATTTTAAAGTGACGTGCAGCTGTTGTTGTGATGGTTTCTGCATGTCTTCATTACTTGTTGGAACAATCATTAAATAGCCAAAATCTCAAATGCTTGCATGAATCTTCAAACTATCCAGATTAGATGAAGTATAAACTCTGTGCACAGGCCTAACCAGTAATAACCTGGAGAACTGTGATTTCTGCAATGCACAGGCCTTGGGGTCTGTACCCTAAGGGGAAAATTCCTCCAGAAAACTATTTCTGCCACATCATCCAAATCTACTTCATAAAGAAAAGCAATAACATGTAGATAAAAACACTGACAAGGAATTAACACAGGATAAATTTCAGTGATATATTTACAACAGATGAAAAAATGCAATTGTTCTGTGACAAGAAACAAACAATATATAAATGACAGAAAAATACGTTATTTATATATGTTATTTATTTTCACACTGGTACACTCGTCACCAGTTCCCATTATCTAATGTCAGGGCATTACTGCCAGTTCAGTTTCAGAATCTTAACTACAAGTATTTACAGCAGTTTCTCACTATACAGACTACTGGTCCATAATTGCAGCCATGTATTTTCCTATAAAGGGGTATTGCTCTTACCGTAGACTGAAGAGTACATTGCCATCAGGGTATACTCGGAGCATGACATTTTCCACAGTTGTATCATGGATGAATGATCTTTTGGAGTGTACAAAAAATATATCAGGTACCCAGATCTTTTTTATCAGTCTTCCATCAAAAGTCATACTTTTGTTTTTGTTACTATGAAATGAAAGTCTCTCATCCTTCCAGTAATGTCTGAGATATAAAGTCATTGTGAAGTCCTTTGTTTAATTAAAAATAAAAGAAGACAATGCATGGTTTATTCACACACAATTGAAAACGGTACAAAGTAATCAACTCATGCAAAGGATCAGTGTCTTCTCTGGGTATCATCTGGAGGACCCTCAGTGAGAGGAATTAAATCCTACCCAATGAGTTTAAATACAGATGAGAACTACCTCTGAGATACCGGCTGTTCGCCTTGTAAACTGGTGTCTCAGTCTGAGGTACATACTTCATTTATACTGAGATAAAACTTTTACAGATTTCAGTGCTCTGCTGTATTGGTCCATCAGTGAAGTGATAAAGGAACTTTTAAACCAACCAAAGGAAAATGGAAAAAGGTTTCCTCTGGAAATCTTTGCAAGCTTTTCCCAGAATGGACTGCGGTTCCTTTATAAAGGGATTAACTCGAGTTCTTCATGAGCATTAGGTCAGTTTGCAAATTTCATTAATCTGTATATTTTGTACAAATACTGAAAAGGGGATTGATGAATGAAATGCATCGTAGAAAAATAATATGAAGAATTTTATTAGAGTAAAACCTTAAATTCTAGAAGAATTACAATTTTTTAAATATGAAATACTGTTTAAAATAGTTTATCATCCTATTTAGAGAAATAGCATGACTGCAACTATACATGTGGAAAGAGATGGAGAGGATGCTCCAAACCCAGTCTGAGCTTCTGCACAGCCTGACGGCTTTGTGCTCACCTATGTAACTTCTGCTTTACTAGGCAGACATCATTGATCTCAATAGAACAATTACTTCTTATAAGAAGTAATTATAAGAATACTGGGAAGATACTTAGGTCTTCCCCTGTAATATGATTTGGGTAGATTTGCAAAGGAATTCAGGGGTGCATACTGACTGACAGATCCCATTGCAAACTCAACACCTGCAACTAGAACTTACACTCACCGTGAAAAGACACTTTAAATGAGATCTCTTTGTAAAGCTAACATGCCCTCGTATTCTAGGATTTGGCACTAATGGGTGGCATTATCAGTGACAATTTCAGCTGAGGAATGAACAGCCTGCATTCCAGTGCTACAAGTCCTTGATTGCAGTGTGGGCATCTACTTTGAGGGCCATTCATGGAACTGATTTTTCTACTTCCATTTGTCACATCTACAGCTCCACCCATGCCAGAAATGATAAGAATTTTCAGATACAAATAAGCAAAGGAAATAAAGGATACAGAGCCTCTTCAACTAATGTGGTGAGTACTAAGGGCTCACGCAGAAGCCCCTGGGGCTTACTGAATGGTTGGTGGTTTCAGATTGGAGCACTGTCCACTCTGATCTGTTCCTCTTACCCAGGGAGAAATTTGACATGTGCTTTAATATAACACTTACTATTTTAAACAAGAATGACTTGCATGCTTCAAGGAAAGGTTGTTCTCTTTCAGGGTTTGCTTTCTTTAACTGTATTATTCTGCATCCAGCTGGGTGTTTCTGAAACCCTGAATTTTGGCTGAACTTCTATATTCCAGTTCCACTTACCATGTCAACTTCAGATATGCTGTCAATGCTTTCTACCTGCACATCAATGCCCACAGGTATTGGTGACCCTTCAATGCAACAGAATGAGACAGTGATGAGGAGCATAAATCCATATTAAATGGAAGACGGTGTATTAGCAACATACAGAAAGTACCCACCCCAGCATTTACTATGATCTTTCTACTTTAGTACACTAAATGAGAAAGACCATAGCAACAAAATAAAACATGATGTTAAACAGTTGTAGAAATAAGTAAAAGGCCTTCAGTGATCATTTTGCAGCCAGACTTACTGGCATTGCAGTTTGGACAGCAGGGACAGCTTCCTTGTTCAACTGCTAATGAACTGCTTGGAGTGCTACCTGGAACTCTCATAGCAAAAAGATGAGTAAATATATCAAATACATCAAACTGCAAAGTTTTCTTACCAGCTCCAATGCTTTTTCCCACACTTACAAAGTAATCATTACACCTCCTAATTATCTTTAGTTACAGAACTATTTAAAGTTTGGCATAGGTATCCATGAAAAAGGATTGCTTCCTCTCTACCTCATAAGGGAAAACCTGTCATGGTTTAAGCCCAGCCACTCACTCACCCTCTTCTTCCCCGCCCTGCTCTAAGAGAGATGGGGAGGAGAATCGAAAGAATGTAACTCCTGTGGGCTGAGATAAGAACAGTCCAGTAACTAAGGTATAACACAAAATCACTACTGCTACCACCAATAATAATAATGATAAGGGAAATAAAAAGGGGAGAGAATACAACATCTCACCACCAGCCAACCAATAACTCGCCCGACTGAGCAGTGATCTGGGACTCCCAAGTAACTCCCCCCAGTTTCTATGCTGGGCATGATGCACTGTGGTACGGAATACCCCTTTGGCTAGTTTGGGTCAGGTGTCCTGTCTCTGCTTCCTCCTAGCTTCCTGTGCTCCTCCTCACTGGCAGAGCATGAGACTGAAAAAGTCCTTGATCACAGTAAGCATTTGTCCTGGGTTTAGCAGTAGCAGTCAATTTTTCTCCTTCTTGGTAGCTGGTGCAGCGCTGTGTTTTGACTTCCAGCCTGGGAACAGTGCTGATAATACCGATGTTTTCAGTTGTTGCTAACTGGTGTTTACCCTGACCAAGGACTTTGTGAGGTTCATGCTCTGCCAGAGAGGAGGGGAAGCCAGGAGGAAGCAGAGGCAAGACACCTGACCCAAGCTAGCCAAAGAAGTATTCCATACCACAGAATGTAGTGCCCGGGGCGGGGGGTAACTGGGAGATACCTGGAAGGACACGGGCTTCTGGGTCCGATTCGTTTCTTGGCTGGTGGCATTGTATTCTCTTCCCTTGTTATTTTCTCTTATCATTGTTGTCGTTGGTGGTAGTGGTGGTGATTTGTGTTGTACATTGGTTGCTGGACTGTTCTTGTCTCAACCCGTAGGAGTTGCACTCTTTCGATCCTCCTCCCCATCCCTCCGGGAATGGGGAAGGGGAGAGCCCCGGGGGGGTGCCTCGATGGCTTCCAGCCCGGCACCACTCACTGGCAGTGAGTGAACAATCTGCCGGGCTAGGGTTTAAACCATGACAGCATTACGTAGCAAGAACTAAAAAACATCTGTGCGTTATCAGCACTGTTCTCAGGCTAAAGTCAAAACCACAGCATTGCAACAGCTACTAAGAAGGAGAAAAGCAATTGCTAGTGCTGAACCCAGGGCAATACTAAAAATGTTCTGTGATGGAGAATCATGTATTACTGAGTACATAATTTATTATCAAGTACAATACACGCCAAACTGATGTGTATTTATTTGATATACTTGATATATATTTGACATGACTTTATTTGATATACTAGCCCACTATTTCATGCCACTGAATAAGGCTGTGAGTTTGTAACATAATGGGATCCAAATGAACAAATTATAAAAGCATATTTACATTTTTACAATAAACTGACTAAAAATCAAAATTACAGCAAAATATAAAATGTATAACTTCTAGAATGAAGGATCTGGTTCTAGATGGGTTATACACCTGTGTAATTTTCAGCAATTATTAATCAGTTCCTTACGCAGGAGAGAGAGGAGAAAGTTGTGTGCATACATGTGTATACTCCCTTCTCTCTCTTCTCCCCCAAGAATATTCTGCATTTGGCCTTAAAATTGATAGTATTTATTGTACATAGGATTCCAATTACATTTGTTTAAAGTATTTTTTAAGCGCACATTCAAACTAGTCCAGTACAAAACATGAGGGCAATGAAGTCTGAACAGCAGGAGATTGCAACCATTTTTAAACTTGTCTTTTTTTTTTTCCTTTTATTAGTGTCAAGCCAAAATAGTCCAGAAATATCACTCTCCTGATAACCAGCCACATTTATTTTGGAATTATCTTTCAAATAGCAGCCCTCGAAGATTACACAGCTGCCTCCATTTCTTACCAGTGGAGATCTTGAACTGTTTTTGAGATACTTTAAAATCTGTCCTTGTGATCTCTTGATTTGACTTGTATTTCTTAATGGAGGGTTTAACCCTACACAGAACAAGTGAAGATGTGTTGTGCTTGGGAAAGGAAGGTAAAATGTGTTCAGTTATCAGGGCACATAGGAGCATGCTTCTGCACTGACAAGAGTATGCTGTCTGGTTTGGAAATCCTGTCTCCCTCTGAGATGAATGCATTGCTCAGTTTGTTGGCCAGAGCTCAAAACAAAGTTCAGGACTCCAGACAGCAAAGTTCAGCCATTTTCAGTTTATTACTAAAATACAAGACAACACTTGGAAAAATGCTGCTGCTTCTGTTGAATAGAGACAACAGGAGACATCTGCACTAGAGGCTGACACACAAGAGTATCAGTGTATATATTCAGCCAGGTATCTTCACAATAAAATTTTTCATACCTCTCCTAAACCAGTTTTGACCACTTCTTGTGTTCGTTTTGATGACACCACACAAATAGTCTACTTATGCTAAAAAACAGTCTGGACTAAGTGCTAGTACAAAAATGCCTGGTTGTAATCTGAGTGAAATCACCTTCTCAGTATTCCACTGAGATCTAAACTATCTTGTAAACTAAAGATGAGTTTAGCCTAAGTAGAAGCCATTGTGGAATTTCTATATGATGTCAGCATCATCCACAAATGGCATTCACACATCATGTAAATGCAAACACTGCAGGATGATGAGGTGTTGTCTATCAAGATGCTCATTTGCATGATGGAACAGGACAAGCCTACACTGTAGAGCTGACACTTGAGCTAGCTGCACGCAAGGCAGGGTGGCTGAGCGAGCAGGCTAGCTGTAGAGGCATAGCACTCCAACCTAGGAGCATAATCAGCATGAAAGCTGACTAATACACAAACAGCATTGAAGACAGAAATCTGGCCTCAGCCCTTGGCTCCCTTTCAAGTCCATGCAGTGTAACAGGCACGTTCAAGGTAGGGGTGACGTGGCTGGTGACTTGGAAATGCCTGTTGGCTGCCAGTGTTTCTCTGAGTGACTGCAAACAGGCAGATGAACCGTGTATTGTCTAACCTTACACACCACAAAGTTTCAAATCCTTTATATTGTAGATGTGCCCAAACTCTTACCCTGGGACCATGGCAGAGATACAGGGTAGGATATACTGGAAGTCCTTGTATCTGGGTATACGTTTCATCTTAACTGCTATTGCTAAAACTTTGGGAGTTTATTTACTTGAACAGCATGCTAAAAACAACGGGCTTAGTCTGGTTCATAGAGTGACTCATAGATGTGAGTGGAAGGGGAGGAGAGGGGAGCAGCTGTCTACATAAAATAACAGCTTTAATAGTTTCTGAGTCAAGGACAAATTTAAAGCAAATGAAGTTAAATATCTACCATCAACATTCTTCAAAGAGGCAAGGAGCTACACACAAATAATATCACACAATAGGATAAATGGCTTTCTGAGCCATATATCATGTAGTGATGAAAAGGCTTTTCTTAGTGACAGCTGCTCGAAGTGTGATGATGACAAACCTAATACTTTCTTGGGTTTTGCAAAAATTAAAGACAATTTCCTACCCCAACAAGCACTATTCCAGGGTGGGCACAGTTTCATTAAATAATTCACCTCATCTGGCAAATGTAAAGGGACTGATCACAGAATTAGAAATTAGTAGAAGCCTATTTTTATATTGGTTACATGCACACAAACAGAAGTGCCAGTTATACATGGATACACACAGAGGCACTTGATTCCTTGAAAGGAGAGCTTGTACTAAGTTGGGAACTACTATAAAACTATGTATAAAAAGTCCCTGGGAACACTGAATAGTATACAAGAGATCAAAAGCTATGGCCAGGAGAAATAGAGCAGATGGCTCTAAAGTGAATTAAATAAAAAGTGAACTGTTATGATGAAATTTGTTCCTGATTAGGTAGAAACATGAGAACTGTGAAACAGAATCCTTAAAAAGAGATTCCTGTTCTCTGTCTAGGGAAAGGCCAAAGACCATACAGGCCTTACTCTAGCCAAGGCCTTCTGAGCTTTGAAGTTTTCTGTGAATAAAAATCAGCTCCACCAGAAACAGGAATAATTAACTATTGGGAACAAGTTACTGAGAACTGTAATTTCTTCATCACTTGGGCTTGTTTTACTACAATTAGATTTTTTTAAAAAGAGCATTTCAATAAGCATTGAAAAGGATCCTAAACCAGCCAGAGCAGTGAAGCAATTTGTCTATTTCTGTATCTGCACCACAGCTTTCTATCTAGCACATTGAGAATTTCCATCTCTGGCTGACCATCAGGCAACAACATGAAATTTACTTTGAAAACAAAGTAACCAGAGCAAAGCTGTGTTTTTTATTTCTCAGTCTGACAGAGAGGATTTTGTTATTAAATTGAACAGCTTCAGTTGCTTCTGGAGCATTGCTAAAAATCATTATTTTACAAGGATTAGTGATTCTCACAATGGAGGCTACATACATTTTCAAAATAATTACTCCCCAGCAGAAAAAAACAGAATTGTTTTCAGATGGGTTTATCTTCACACAAGCCATTTCCAGTCTTTTGTTTTAAAGGTTTAAACATAGCAAAAGAGTTCCTTGATAAGCATGGAATTTTTTTAATAGGTAGTATGGCAGGCAAATTCTGTAATACCCATTTTAGAAGGACTATTACATAAAAAGGATGTTCTTTTATCACTATAGGATCGACTTCTACAATAATAATGATTGGATTAGTGAATTCTATGGTATTTTTGTAATAGTCAGATCTCTGAACACACAATGGACTGCACCTGAAATTCCTGAAGTTAAATGTTGAATTTAGATAAAACAGCCACTGTCATCTCCCAGTTGGCTTTGTAATAGTGTATGATGGAAAAAAGCTAGGTCTGCAGGAAATTCCCACTAGGAAACAGAGACTGGGGAAGGATTAAGGTCTACAGGAGTACCTTCTTCTAAAAATGGCCTGTAGAAGAAAACTAAATATGGAAACAAGCCCCAGCTAAGTGAAGCTATGTGTGTCTACTTTTCTCTGTCACTGAAACAGCAGAATTACTGGCAATGGTATTATCTTCTTGTTACTGTTTTGTTTCTTTCTTAGTTGTGTGAAGGTGGGCTGGAATGGAAGAATTAGCAGTGAAAGAAGAAAAAAGATCAGGAGAAGCAGTCTGCTAAGGTTTTGCAAATTACCAAAGTATTTCCCTCCTGGACCACAGCTATTCCTTCTAGTAACACATGAGAAAAAGCCATCCTACTTTCATCAGAGTGAGTCTTCTCCACCCCAGTGACATATTTCTGACCTTTCAGGGAGGGCTGTGTGCAGAAGAGAAAACAGATTGGTGGCAATTAGAATTGCAACATTGTTTGAACATTCATTGTGCCCTGTTTCCTTTTCTTTTTCTACCCTTTTACCTTCAGATGAATCTAAATGTTACTAATTTAGCTTGAGGAAGGAGGAAGCACAGAGGGGAGAGAGCTAATGGAATTTCTGATCCTCTGAGTATTTGCAATTAAGATTATGTTTAATTGCAGATCGGGTTGCAAACTGTCTAGGACTGCTACCTCTTGACCAGCTTAAGTCCACTAAATTATTTTCCGTCATGTTTGATACTGTCTAGTGCTATTATCCACTAGACTGGTTGACAAAGTAGAGAGAACAAATTTTAAAACTTCTTTAACTAACACACTGTTAGCGTAGGAAATGACAGGTCCTTAAGACACAATGTAAAAGAAAAACAAAATTGTCATATATATATATACACACACATACACATGGGGAGAATTTCCATGTACACAATTACAATGATCATGAGATTCCATAATGTTTAGACTGCAAATAGTTAAAGAGAGTGCTTGGTTGTATTGTCAGAAAACCAAGGCACAGAGAAAGAAAATAATTACTTCCTCTGTATGCTAGTCTATGATTATTTATTTTTTTTAATGTTGAATGTTAATTTTTAGTAATTGTAGAAAGAGCTCATGAAACCAAGAACTCACCCCAATGACTTCTGCTGGCATTTTGGAATAAGATAGTCCAGAAAATAATAGGCTATAGATAAATAGATGCATAGTAGAAAATAAAGTAACTTGAAAGCATTTCTAAGAATTCACAAACACTTTATTCTCCTAAACCAAGCTTAGCAGTTTTGGCTGCTAAGTGGCCCTCAGATCCAAGTTGCTAGAAGTCTCTGTTCACTGTCTGATACTGGCCTGTGCTCACCCTTTCTCACTGAGGTAAAATATGGGGATGACCATTCAAAGAAGTGCTAGCAACATAATTTAATTTCTTACATTTTCTCCAGACCAAACTTGAGCTATCTTCTCACAGATTATCTGTTTATGGGGGTACTGACAAATCAGTACTCTAGGCCATAGTATTAAAGATATATATCTGAGTCTACTGACAGTTTTTTGTTTCCTTTGGTAGGACCTAAGTCGACAGACAACCTTACCAGAACTGGCAAGCATTATTATACCATGGCAGGACATCTCACATACGCACCTCCTGGCTTTTACAAGTACTTCTGGAAGCAGCAAGGACAAAACAATTCCTAATACCTACAATGTTCACTAATGTAGTTGGTAAAGCTTGTTTGAGCAACGGAAACATCAGTACTCCTAGTTCAATGTCTAGTGGAATTACTCAAATCACTTTGCTGGGCCACATCTGTTTGCATCAGTGGGGATCCATCTATTGGAGACTTCCAAACAGAAGAGGACCATGACATTACATGGAAGGCAACAACAAAACAAAACAATCCAAGAAATGAAAAAAACCCAACCCACAATCCCCTCAAACAACAACCCAAGAGCCTGCCTTAGGGATTAAGTGCAGTGTAACAATGTAAGTTCAGTTTTTTAGAGAACATTTGGGTGTACTGAATTACTTCAGACTATAGTAATGAACTATAATGAACTGCAGACAAGTAACATTTCTTTAGCAAAAACGTAGGAACAGCTTGCTAGCAGCTTGCTGGCTTTGCTTCATCTTGACACAGTATACTTCTCAGCCTTTTCTCTAATGTGTTAATAAATAGACAATGCCAGGATTAAATTTTACAATCACCAGTCAGATTCTGATTGTGCAGCTGGAATGGCATTGCAATCAACAGAATAATGCCAAAATATAGTCACACAAATAGCAGTTTATATGTCCATTATTATGTGTCCATCTCTCCATGACAGAGTTGTGTCCATTAGGTTAAAAAAAAAAAAAGCATCTCTTACTTCCATGGACCAATGATGCTTTCACAGGAAAGCAATCAGACATGTGAGAAAAGTCACATTTCCAGGAACACTGCTGCTGGTCAGTATCCAACAGTTCTACATTCATTTCCCCCAATTTTTTTCCTGTGCATGTTTGCTCAGTTTACAAATCAAATGCAGCATATGCCCTCTCTGTTTTTCCTTTGTTACTCAATTATAAATACTAAAAAGTCTAGGTCCTGTAGTCTGCCTCATTTACTTTGCATGTGTGGGGCTAAATAAAGTCAAACAAGCCAAATTTAGAGTTCCCCAAATTGAGGGGTCCCCAGGACGTTTAAAACTGTGCACCATACAAATGTTAATAGATGTATATTTCAGTCCTAGAGACATTTACTCATAAGCATACCACATATTAAGAGAGTTCTGAAAATTCTGAAGTGTGTGAATTATTGGATATGACTGAAAAAAGTGCCTCCCATACCACTATGGAGGCATGTGGATTGATAAAAGGGGAGCAAAGCTTATGCACTCTTCTGCTGAAAGCTATTTCTGAAAGCTATTTCTGAAAGACAGGAGTACAGCTGAAATCATACCCATGGCAGTGTGATAACTGAGGTGCCTGTGCAATGAAGTCAGTGGAAAAACTACAGCTGACTTCAGTACGAACTGAACTGGTTCTATAACCAGTCATCTGAAAATAAAAGGACAAGGGGGAAAAGCCTGGTACATACTTGCTGCGTGTAAAAAAATCCTCATTGCCTGTGGAAAATTAAAGCTGCCAGATCACAAGGTATAATCTGAAAGTTGCTTTTATGTACATCGTAAGTATTGCTTCTGGAATGATACAAAGATGAAGCACAACCCAAAGTGCTGTTTGGTTTCATGTAAATGCTACTTCCTTTCTGAGATGATACTCTGAAAAATTTAAATTCCTTGTGTGGCCAAGATGTCCACACTAACAGATACTAGACTAAACAGGTTTTAGGCAAGGGGTAATTTTAAACTTTTCTGTCAAGAAACAGACATATCTCAACTGTTGTTCAAAGTCAGGTGAGATTTTTGCTCTCTGACAAGACAAAATTTCCAGGGTAGCAAGAAACCCATTCACACAAAGGCTCAGACAAAGCTTATTAGTGGTTCAGCTTTCTCATTTTACCTTTCATGAAGGAGAGTCAAAATTGAACCCAAACTGTGGACATCCCATTGAATACTCCCTTTATCCACATGCAATTTATTTAAATGAAGAAATAATAACCATAGTGCCCAACACAGAATCAACATGGTAATAAATTGAACATCTGCGGGCAACTTTTTTATTCTCTACTTAGCAAACAGATTTAGGAATTTCTGGTTCATTTCTATCTCTTAAGATAACTGTGATGACTAAGTAATTTTCTAATTGCTACTAGACTATGCAGTTTACAGGGATACCTTATTCACTGCTCCCATAGAGCCTTACCCTAATAATATTTTTTAATAAGTTCTGAAAAGGAACCAGCACAGTGCAGGTGTGTGTTGCTTACCTCCAAATCCAGGTCTGAGTGCAAAGTCATGATCCTCTATGCGAAGCAGCTGCTCAGATTTAAGTGGCCGTACTTTTGTGCTGTCAATTTTCCTCATTTTAATTTCTTGTTTGCTATGTTTAAAAATAAACAAGCTGTAAGAAACTTAATTTTTTTTTCTCTGCCTGACATTCAGAGTGCCAGTTAAATGAAGCAGAGACCCAATAATACTGGACAGTTGAATCTAGTAAGATAAGGGAAACAGCAGTTGGAGAAAGATATATTAGAAAAGGTAGGGGAATGTGCCCAGGTCCATGGGAACACTAGTGATAGATAAAAGTCCCAAGTAGAACATCTAGCTCTTCTTATATTCCTCTCAGAAATTGTACCTATCATTATGTCTGTTAGTATTTACATAACCACTTGCAACTCAGACTGGAAATAACACCAGTTCATTTCAACACCAGTGGTTTATATCACTTCATGCATTATCCATATTACAGAGACAATTATATTTTATATCTTTGCTTTTTTTTTTTTTTTTCCCTAGGAGCTCAAATGAGTCAGTAATTTTTAGGAAGGACCAAGAAACTGATGGCCACAGATCCAGAGGCTTGTTTTTTGAGATCTTCTTAAACATCATTCAGATTTGGCCAAGTTATTCATTAGCTCTTATTTGCTTAATTATTAGCTCTTATTAGCTGATCTGCTGCTCAGACATGCAGCATTTCTTTGCATCAGGAGTCCTTACTCTGCGTTTTCCCCCATGTAACATGTAACTAAGCCTCTGCAACAAGACCCAAGGCAACACAGGTGAACCTGTGCTCTGAGCAGGACGTCATGAATTCTGTGCTTCTTTCTGGTGACTGTTGCTAACTTTCTTCCCTTCACAGAAGGTACTGATCAACATCCCAAACTCCACTGGGAAAATCACATGTCTAAGAATGGACTCCAGCTCTCCAGACGGGAATCTCATGTACTGAGCCTGCATTTAAAATGAACAGCAGCTGCCCATCACAATGCAGGCACCTTTTCTGGTTTTCCTAGAAACAGAAAGCACACCAGAAATAACAGAGGGGTCTGGTACATGCCCATATCACAAAAGTATTGGGTTAAAACACAGACAAGATCTACAGTCAGATCTGGCAGCTGGAGGACACAGGCTCTAGAAAGAATCTGCTACATTATTTCGTTCTGCTATAAGGAAAATGCTATGGCGTCTCCTTAAGTTTCCACTCCTTGTTGCATGTCCTGCTTTAAGTGGTCAGACCCAACTAATTACAGAAGTAGCCATACCTTAGCTGCAGAATTATGCCTAGCTCTGGGCCCCCATTCCACGAAAGGCATGGGAAGATTGTAAGAATTTGTGTAGCTTAATTTAGAGGAACAAGACTGAGGGAAGGACACTCTTCAGAACACATCATAAGCTCAGACAGGGCCCTTTTCTCCATGTCCACTCCCCAGTAGGATAAGAAGTGGCAACAAAGGAGAGTATACATTACACTTTAGGAACGCATTTATCATGGTAAGAAGAGTTAAACATGGGAACATATTTCTTGTGCGGGTTTTGAGATTTCTTTCAGCCAAGCTATTTATGAATAGGTTAGACGTGTATCTGTAGGAATTACTTAAATACAGCTGCTTTGCCAAAGGCAAGGGACTCTCCCTAGACATAATTTCTTTGATGCTTTCTGTGATTCTCTGGGACTTTGATGTCAGCAGCTCTAATTATTACTTTAGACTGAATGATAAAAATCTGAAGATCTGTAGTCAAACACTGCTTAAGACAAGGTATGGAATACTTTAGGATAAGGTTTGTGCCTGTATTTACTCTTTTTCTCCTTTCCCCCCCTTTTTCTTAATATCGAAGCCCAAGAAATTACTTATAAAAATGCCATAACAGGAATGCTGAGGTGGCTGCTGGACTATTCAGAACCATTGAACGAATTAATTTACCTTAGCATTCTTGAATGCTGATGGCAGTGTTGTCTGAACCAAATTATCAGGGCAATAAGAACACCCATCAGGCATTTCAAATGCAGACTTTAGTTTTCCAAGTATGAAAATTATATGGATGCTAAAATAAAATTCCATACTTTTGAGAATTAAAATCACCACAGACAAAGGCTGTATCAGAGTAGTATGGACATTAGATCTGAACCCCTGTAATTCTCTGCAATAGGTACACAAGAAAATCTGCTGATGGGAACCACTGTGAGAAAAAATGATGGATTATGTTCAATATGCCATGGCACAGCTAATGCAGTTTGGAAGCATTAGGTCATTTGTCATCAGATGCCAAGGAAAATACCTGTTTTCAACAAATCCAATAATTTCACTGGAAGAAGCAGGATAAAATTATGATACATCTATTACAACTTCTTACTAAAAGCAAGCATGTGACTGAGGAAGGCTTTCTGTAGTCATAAGAGGCAAAACATAAGCTACAAGGGCAGGATTTTTTTTCTTAATGAGCCCCTGAGATGTTACATGATTAGGCTATTTCTTCTGTTTTCCTGAATGAGGACAAAATAAACACTAATGCTGCTTATATGTAAAGCATCTTTTCTGCCCACTTATTTGACCAGCCTCTTCAAGCTGATGCCTCATATACAAATGTGGGGTGTCTATAATTACTTCTAGCTGCTATCAGAAGTGGCTGCAACATCTTGCAGGGGTCAAAATAGCACTTTCATTACAAACATACAACATCTTTTCTTCAATACCTTCCTTTGGCAGAATATTTTTTTTTTCAATTGCAAAGGAAAATGGGCTTAACTTTACAGTAAAGACATATATGCTCAAGGTACTTGGAATTAATTTCATGGACACGGGTAACACTGCATATGTAAAGGTACCAAAAAATAAATACACTTCTGCTTCACATTTTTTCTCCTTGACTGCTTCCTCCACCCAAGACTAAGAAGTGTTCTCCAGCAGATATTCCTTTAACATCAGCATTTGGGCTCCAGATGTTGCTCCTTGGCTAAAAGTTATATTATTAAATTGACCGCACTGTAGTATCACAGTTATTTAACTGATGATTCAAAGGGAATCGCATGTGTGTGTTTGTTTACTCCTAAGAAATCCTAGACCCATACCTAACTACTGATCAGCACTACAGCATTGTAAAATCATCAGCAGATGTTTTCTTGAGTATTCCTCCCATGGCACAAATTCCATTAATTCCATTAATTTTAATTCCATTAAAAAGCAGAAGAGAGAGATCTAACTAGCCTGGCTCTCAGAAAAGCTTCCTGATGTAACTCAAGATAGACTTTTCATTTCTACAGACACACTGCAAAGACACAGATTGTACTTTGGTGGCCTGGTACCCTGGTCTCTCTATCATGCAGCTTTGGCCAGCACACCACAATCTAAGAGTCTAAATGCAGTCATTGATTCTGTACATCACTGTATGGCATGTGTCAGGCTATGGCATTTGAGAGGAAAAGCCCACACATAATCACAAAATCACAGAATTGTTTAGGAAAAAGAACTTTAATGTCATTGAGTCCAACAGTAATCCTAGCACTGCCAAGTCCACCACTAAGCCATGTCCCTAAGCACATCTACACGTTTTAAATACCTCCAGGAATGGTGACTCAACCACTTCCCTGGGCAGCCTCCAACGTAAGCAGTTTCAATGGTTGACAGCACTTCTGGTGAAGAAGATCTTGTGAAATCATCAGCAGATGCATGTATCAGCAGACACATGCACCTAAGGAAAGTAAATCTCTCTTTACCTCTTTAATACCAAATCAAAGATATCCAAAAGGTAGAAGTTACATAAATCTTAATCCCAGGAGAGTCTGGAGAGTTATACAGCAGTGTGATCTCTTGAACTTTTTAACACATTCATCAAATCTTGAAGCCCAGATAAATGTAATAATCAGAATTGTACAGTTCTCTCTCATACAAATAAAAATGCCTAAGTGTTCAGTAACATAGCAACATGTATTGTCAAAAAGCCTAATATTTTTGACAGTCAAATGCTCTGTTCTTTGCTGTAGGAAACGGATCATGAGAATAATCGCTTTCTCATGTACTTTTGGTTAATGCTTTAAAATCTTCTTTACAAGAGAATGCAGACAAATAGCTTTGGAGGGAGAACTGGGTTACACTATTAAAACAGTGGAACTTGTAGGTTAAGTAACATTTTCACATGGGATTCTTTTTAAAAGGCCACCCATTTAACCAAGGCCATCTGTCAGCTGTGTCCCTAATATCTTTAGCGCTGGCTGAAAGGTTTTTCCCCAGAAAGAAAAAGAGGCTGGTGAAAAGTCACAATGTACTGGAAGATAATGCTGCATTTTGAACAAAACCAGGGAATCAAACAAAGATAAATTAAACGTATTTGGATCCTTTCCATGGAAAAACTGATTTGCATCTTTGAAGCTTTGGGATCTTCTGTGGCACTGATTTTTTCCCAGTTCCAAATCACAAAGACCTAGAAAATGAAGCATTGCTTGTGTAACGAAAACTGCTACATCAGTCAGCATCAGCTGGCATTTCTCCTGCTCCTATTCTTTCTTTCTGTTAACACACTTCTGCCTGTCTCACAACACTGTCATATGGATCCATTTGTATGTATTAGTAAAGATCTGTGAAGATAGAGAGGACACTGTGCTAGTATTGTTACTGCTGTCCAGTGGCAAGAGATCAGTAAAGGATGTGCAGCAAAGGATACCATGAAATATGCTGTCTCCTACCAGGCTTCTCTCCTGCTTTGTGATTGTTTCATAAGCAACTCCTCTCAGCTACTGCAGAACAGAATAAATGCAAATGACAATAGCATACGCTTCCCTTTTACCACTGACAAAAGTGTATCAGCTGAGCTTAAAATAGACCTTCCTTACCACTATAGTGATAAGAAGGTATTTCATTTTGTTTCCATTAGATTCTTAACTGCTTCCTAAGACTAGCAAAGCACTAGATAAGACCTTATGTTGAAATTAGGATTAGTTCTGTTTATTTTGTTTTGTTATTACAAATAACCATTCACCAACGCTCACTCCAAAACTGTCAGTGAGTTTGAAACAGTCTGCTTTTCAAGGGCTTTTGGATTAGACCAAACTTGAACCTATGACCTTGAACTGAAATCTGGAAGTACTGAGCAGCATGTCTTCTCCAGGCACCTCTGTTTTGCCACTGGGATATGTTCTGTTGCCTTGCATTGCTTAAGTGTGATTTTTATCACAACATCTAGGGATTCAGAGATATGTCACTGCTAGATTATCACGTAAGAAGTGATACAGTAGGTAAACAGCTGAACACCTGCTACAAAGCATGTAACCTGAGAAGAGCTTAAACACATCAAAGGAGTACACTTATGTTACTTTTTCTCAATATTTGATATTGTACAAATAAAATACCAGCTCCCCTGCTCATTTTAATAGGGGGTTAAGTACACAGACAAATGTAATAGTTGCATTCCTTCTCCTTCCTTAAATGGAAACTTATTACAATTTCTCCTCTCTCCCAAATAATAGAGAATTTGCTTGGATTATCACTGCCAATCATTGGTGTGTTCACATACTATTAGCTTAATCTGGAAACACATCTGGAGACCTTACATGGCAGATGTGAAATTGTGTTTCTGGAAATACACACTAACACTTCGCACAGAAAGGTAAAAACCTTTGTATCATTATTAATTTTAAAGCAGCTACTTGACTGGAAAAACTAAGAACAGAGACAATCTTCAACATCTAAAAGCATAAGTATATTCCATAAAGGGAACACACTGTGTTATCACTACAAATAATTTACCTCATGTAGTGCTGTAAAAATGTCTTCTGTATCTTGATAGAGTAGCTACTTTGCTCCTTTGGTAATGGAAGTCACTTTGTAACATTGGCCTAGAACTTCAGAAGGCATTTTTGCTTCTTGCAATAGGAGTGAAAGGGCAAGTATCTTTGTCACATCATGATAGTAGTCTGGTATCACAACAGTAGCCTGGTATCACTCAAGTTAAATGACCTGTGTGTGGGTATGACTGTTTACATACCTGTATGTATATGAAGCCTTCATGAAATCCAACATGAAAATATATCTGGTTATGCAAAATTAATTAATAGTTCACTGTTTCCGTTTTGGGAACATGCTATCAATACCAAACATACTATAAATCCAGAAACTATCAAAACAGGACAGTGAACAGAAAAGGCGCATTGAAAGGTTGCTGACAGCATCAAGTTTATCAGATGAACATAGATGGAGAGAGTATATTGCTTACCTGTTATGCTTTCTTAAGAATGAGAACTGTTGCCAATGATGAAGATGGTGATGCTGACTTTGAGAACTGTGTAGGACTGCTGTTGGCCAGAGGCAGGTGAGGAGCAGAAGTTTCATAACCAGGACCATCTCTTCCAAAAGAGAAATGCAACTGATCAACCAGTCCACCTTGCTTTTTACTTCTAGTGCTTTTACTGTTTAAAAACAGCAAAAACAGCATAGTGGAAAAAGGATGCACATGAAGCAAGGCATTACTTAAAACAGAAGACAGAAGCATCCCAGTTCTGATGTCCTCGACAAGTTCTCCTCATATCTTGGCAAATCACAAATATTCCTTCAGCTCTATATCCCTGCAGATCTGCTGCCAAACCAGAAGCACTTTGCTTTCAGAAATACAGTAGGTAGAGCAATTTGTTTGGCCATGCTGTAGTCTGATCCATTGCTTCCACTCTTTCAGCATAGGCGCATATTTGAATTCTCCACCACCCACTCAGTAACCTCTTCAACATCGCCTGTGCAGGCAAAGTGATGTCAAACATTTAATCCCCCTTAAATCCCACACAAAGCCATATAAAAATCTGCTTTAATGACACAGGTCTCTAAATTAATCTTGCTTTCTCTGTATGTGTGTATCTGCTCCACATAATTTTCTGGACAAATCAAGCTCTTTCATTAACTGGCTACACTGTATCGTCTTCCTGATCATTAACATAATTTGTTTCTGATGATCTGCAGTAGCAAGCGTTTCGTCAGTAGATACAAAACTACTTTTGGACAGCACAATATCAAGGAACAAGTCCAAACTAAAAATGAAGTCTTGTTTCAATATTCCCCAGTAACATCTGGAAATTACATTTTTCTTTTTTTCTTTCACTAGTCTCTGCAGCTATTTGACTTACCCTAAATTTACAAGGTGTGTGCATATCTAAGATCCATCACTCCTAATTTTATCTTTATTTCATTTAGCCTGCCCTGCCTGTTCAGTAGCATATTGAATTGCAAAACATTTTATTCACAAAATGTTGCTAGAGCAATAAATTGAGCATGCATGCCTGCTTCTCTTACGAAGAGTGGTAAGACTTCTTGTGGACTTAAAACTGAGCAACACTGACATACCTCTGTAGCTGACACGGTCAAATTTTATTCCTTTCAAGCCATCAGCAAGTTCAGTAGTTACCAAAATTGAAAGAACATGTTTATTTTTATCTAGAAAATCAGAAATATGAGATTGAAAGTTAGAGAAACGGAAATATTCAACTCCTGTCTAACAGATGTAGAAGTAATTCAGGTCTCTCAGCAGTAGGCGTCATCCTAACTAGAACAGACAAACAGAGGAATGAAAATAAATCTAACACTGGGTCTGCTGAAACAGTTAACACCCAAGCATATTGAGATAATAATACTGTGAGGTGGGCATCTGCCCCTTAGAAGTCCCATGAAATTCCCAACTAACTTTATTTGGGCTAGGAATTAATTCACAGATGCAAATGTCTTCCAGGAGAGGGTTAGCAAAGGACAGCAAATTCCTACTGTGTTTGCTGTTTTGGTGTTGAACAGATTATTTGCCTCTGACTTAAAAAGGTAAAAAAAAAAAAAAAAAAAATCCCTTTCTAACCGTGCATAAAATTTTAACAGTGTTAGACTGAATTTGGTGCCTTAGATCAAAGGCTTTTAACCCTGTAACCCATCTCATTCTACACTGTTCATAGTTTAATCCTTTCCTGGTCAGCAGAAGTATGGAAGATCACTTGTTGCCTAACCCAGGGGTAGCTGTAGTGCTTCCAGCAGTTCTGGTGATTTCCAGGGTGGAGTTTCTGGAGAAGGTAAACGCAGGCTATAGTTAATAAGACATTTAACAGTTTCCATTAATTTGCATTATCATTTGGGTGGAAAAGAGAAAACAAACAATCGCTCTAATGAGAATTTATTCCAGATGGAGATAATGCTTGTTCCTGAGCCACTCTAGGCTCTATCTTTTCTTACACATAATCGTAGAATCACGCAAGAAAAGATCCAAGAGCCTTTGGATCCCTCCTCTTTTCCCCACCCAAGCACAAGGCCCAACAGTAGCAGCAACAGTAGCAAATCAGATAAAAAGCTAACTACACTGGAGGCTGCATGGTAAACGTGTTGCCACACTTGTGCATATTCAGCTGTCTGCGCATTCATCAGCATTAACTCATTTCCAACCATTTTCTTCAACTAAAAAGGAATAACAACATGTATTCTATGATTCTACGCATATATACTGTCTTCTCTGCTAATAGTAATCATCGACATTATTTTCAGGGACTTAAGGGAAAGCCACATTTTAGATGTTAATATTGTCCTTAGCTGAAACTTCTAGATATGACTCTCGCTAAGCAGGAGATACAAGATGGGGAAGGAGAAGGAGAGGATGTTCTGGGTGCTGAGGTTATCTACCAAGAGCTCTGAGGGGGACCTGAGGTTAGATCGTGTCATGCTAATGCATAAATATGTTGACTTTTGTGTGCTGACTTCAAGGAACTCAAAAAGCCTTCATTAAAAATAAGTAAGTAAAAATTGCTTTGTGTATTTGTTTCCCAGCTGGGAAAGGGAGTTCTTAGAACCCCTGCTCCAGGGGTATGCCAAATGCAAACAAGTTGGCTTTGCAGAATGACTGGCCTGCCCCAGACCAAGCTGCTTATGGATGTTCCTTCTCCAGAAGGCACATCAGCCATGAGGGGAGTCTTTAACATAAAAAGTTGTCATCCCTTTCAAGCCCTCAGCAAGTTCAGTAGTTACCAAAATAGATGTTGTTTTCATTCAGCTACCAGCACCCTGCTGTTTTATTATTCCTGGCTGTAGCAAGAACTTTACCACTAAGCTGTGGTGATGAAAAGACTACCCCATGGAGGATTTCCAAAACATGCTTGTTTCTTTCAGTGCCCCCCACTAAGATCAGTTTTAGTCCAAAAAAAACAAAAGGGCTGGATGCACTGACATATTCCACCACCTTCACACCACTGATGTCATAACAGTAAATACTACCTTGAGGGGCCTTGCCTAAGCACACTGAAAATCTAAGCACTATCCCTCTCTCCTTAGCTATGGCATATTTCCAGAAACTAACTGTCTCGCCCCCACACACAAAGTCTTCAGGAGGGACTCCTGCAGAGGGAAATAGTGAAGGCTTCCATTAATGGCTGTGTAATATCAGTGAGGGCAACTAGACGTTGCTTTTTCATACTAAAGCTGTTTTCATTTCCTCTGGGTAAGAGAGCATTACACAGGGCAGATTATATTATCATTTTAAATTACCATTAAGAAAACAGGTTAATCTCCTATGCATTTGTCAGTAATACTAAAAAAAATCTATCTTTGCAGAAGAGTAAAGACGAGACAATACACTTTGCCTGTATTGGTCCTTGTGCTTAAGCACAGACCACTGTCTACTTGCTATCATTAAAATGTTTCTTTAAAATTATCCCTTCTCTGTAGGCAACAAAAATTTGTAATGCCTATCTTTCCAGGACAAAACACAGTGCATGGAAACAGTGCATAAGAATAGTTTGCAAACAACAAAGGAAGCAAAAGAAATAAATATAAATACACCACCTAGCATCAAAAAATTAGAAGCCTTCTTTTAGTGAGCAAAATAAAACATAATTTCAGGTAATTACATTCTGGAACTCCAGATGCCTCTCTATCACAGATCACAAAGCAAAGCAATTGACACCACTTATAAAAATAAGAACAAAAAAATGTCAGGGATGAAGAGATGCTTCAGAGGCTGGAATTTTGCAGAAAATTTGAGCACATCTAAAGGCCACTTTAAACACATGGAGCTGAAATGCCACAGCACACTAGCACTTCAGCACTTAAGCACTGCTCCTCTTTTCACTGCGCGTAAATTAGCTGCAGTGAAAAGAGAGGCAATGTGGAACAGGGAGCATAGGTTTACCTGGCATGCACTTTTTATTCTCCTATTCAGAGAATGAAACACAAGGTAAAAAACATTCTTCTGAGTCTCCTAAGAGACACTCATTTGTGATAAACAACCAGCAAAACAGAAAGCAGATTAACCAGAGCAATGACTATGAGAGTGTGAATGCAATAGTGCAGCACACAAATAGGCAGCATTTTGCTTTTCTATAGTAACAGACCCAGTGCATAGCACATTTATATTGTGGCGACTTGCAAAAATTAGTCAGAATTAAGGACACTTTGTCCTGCTTACATTAACACAAATGATGAATCAAGTTCCCAGAATAAGGCATCCATTCACGTTTCCTAACCAGACTAAGTGAGAAGAAAGCAAAGACTAAGCATTATGATTCCAGTTTGCAGACCTTAGTGTGGCATTTCACAACATGGTTGATGCAGAGACTCAAATCTTCGTTTATTACCACCAAGCCCTTTTTATCCCCTTGTTCAGTACTCTCCCAACCTGCACATAACATACAACATTCAATCTCATTGGCCTCTGTAAAATTCTCCAGGTAAATAGTCTAATCACAAAGCTACAGATCCTCTCACAACCTGGTCTTCAATGCCCCAGCTTATCGCCCCAGGGCTTGTCAAGCACCAAGGCCTCAGAGCTCATTCCCAAATTGTTCACCTTCACTCCCCACATCTCCCCCTTCTTTGTTTTGTATATTCACTATCAACACCTGCTTAAGGGCTCGATTAATAAGAAACTGTATAAGCTAATAAAAACTAACAAAACAAACATTCTTAATACATTTTTTTTCACTTGTGCTCCTAGCCTGGTAAATAAACAGTTAAAGAACAGTTAACATTCTGCACTAACAATTGGTTTCAAACTATATAATTAAAATACAGATACATATCTGTTTTCACAGATTTTAAGAAATCAATTTCTTGTGGCTGTGTTGTTATACTCCCCAGCCATCCCACGTGTCCACAGGATTTGAGGTTGCCATTGCTTCCAAAAGCAGTCTGAAAGGACTTGCAGGTGTGGCAACCGACAGGTGTCTTGTCCTGTCGCACTGGCTACAGATGCTCTGTTTTGGCTGGGCGGAAAACCACAGTAGGGTCAGTCCTCTTGTGATGAAGAGACAGAAGACAAGGCAGGACAAACCCACCGTGCAGGGACACAACGAGCTCCTTTATCTGTGGAAACACAAGCATACCCTTGTCCCCAGGTTATTAAAGGGAATGGGCCTTCCCATTCATGAGTTTCAAGATTATGTACTTTAACATGGGCTTTCCCCTGTTCAAAATTCTTAGAACCCCCAAAATGTCACTGTATAGGAGATCCATCCTCTGTCCAGTGATTAAAAAAATTCAAAACCTAATAAACTTTTGCTATACGTTCTTGTGGGGTTAACCCTGAACTCCCCCTTTTTGTTTCTGCAACATAGTTTTAAGGGTGCTATGTGTACGTTGAATAATTGCTTGGTCTGTGGGAGAATGTGGAATACCCGTGACATGTTGAATTCCCCACTGTTGAAAAAATGCTTGTGTTTTGTGTGCTGTATAACCTGGGCCATCCTCTGTTTTTATGTTTTTTCAAACCCCCAGCGTATAATATTTATTGGAGTAGTCCATAATTTAAAAACATGGACTACAGCAGAGAGTTCTACTACCTGAGGAGATCCTGTGACAATGTGTATATCATTTTTCCAGGGTCCTTCAGCATCTTTCCAAATTATTGCTGCTCGGCCTGTCTTGCCAGACTCATCAGTGAATACTGTGAGGGCCTCAGTTATTGGCGTAATAGTTAATTGTCAAGCAGGCAAAAGAGGAACAGAATTTAGGGATTGCACAGTTTTGTGTCCTGGGAAATGAATACTAATTTGCCCTGTAAAATCTGCTAGAGCACACTGAAAAGCAAAAGACTGGTGAGTTAAAAAGGTTAGTTGTTTTGTATCAATAAGCCGATAGATAATATTAGGTTCAACACCATATAAATTCAATAACTGCTCTCTTCCTCTCTGAATGACCATAGCTATCATTTCAGTGGCTATTGTAACTGTTTTTCCAAAATTATGTGACAAAAATATCCATTCCAAAATAATCAGTGGATCTACATCTTGCGGAACCCACTGTGCTAAGAGCCCATAGGGTTGAAAAGATGAATAAAAAATGAAAAGGCTAATAGGGTGGTCCATTTTTTGCCTATGAGCAACTTGACTGGTTAATTTTACAACCACTTTATCAAGTGCGGTTTGCGCAGAGGGGGTGAATGTTCGAGGAGGTGTCAAACATGGATCCCCCTCCTATAATTTGAAGGGGGCATGGAGCTCTTCCGTAGATATTCCCAAGAGAGGACAGATCCAATTTATGGTTCCTAAGAGTTTTTGGAAATCATTTAGAGTCTTTATTCCTGTCCTCAGGGTGATATTCTTTGAATGTTTTGTTCAGATATTTTCCATCCTAAATATTTCCAGGGTGGAGCTTCTTGATTTTTTTCTTCTGCAATTTGGAATCCTGCTGTTGAGACTGCTTGAATCACTTGCCATTTCACTTTCTGGGCTGTTTGTTCCAATTCCACAGCAATTAAAATGTCATCCATATAATGATAGATTAAAACATTCTCAAAGCACTCTTGTATAGGGCTCAAAACTGCCACTACAAATTGTTGACATAGTGTAGGACTGTTTTTCATGCCTTGTGGCAACACTTTCCAATGATATCTTTTATGGGGGTCTGCAGCATTGATCGAAGGCACAGAAAAGGCAAATCACGGTGCATCTTGTGGAGCAAGACATATCATGAAAAAAGTATTTTAAATCGATGAGTATGAGAGTCCATGTTTGTGGGAACATTGTTGGTGAGGGGAGCCCAGGTTGCAAAGCTCCCATATCCTCAATGAGCTTATTTATCTTTCTTAGGTTGTGTAAAATCCTCCAAGCATTATTTTTCTTCTGAATTACAAAGACAGGTGTGTTCCATGGGCTGGTTGTGGGGACTATGTGACCAGCTTTCAGCTTTTCATCCACCAATTTGTTTAACTGCAGCAGTTTTTCTTTTGGGAGGGGCCACTGATCTACCCACACAGGCTCATCTGATTTTCAGGTTAAAGGTGTGACCTGCTGCAAAACAGTTGCCCCTGGGAAAAGTCCATACTTAAATGTACTCCCCATTGGCTTAAACAGTCTCTTCCCCATAGGGTAGGAGATCCAGACAACACAAAAGGCCTAATCGAGGCAGATCTCCCTTCTGGTCCAAAAATAACAAGCTCTCTGCCCTGCTTTGGAGAGGTTCGACCACCAGTTCCTGCTAATGAGGTATGAGCATCCACAATGGCCAATGATAGGGCCATTGTGATGCAGAAATGACTGTAACATCTGCTCCACTATCAACAATTCCTTGCAAAGTAATGTTTGTCCTCTTTAAAGTACAGGACAACTGGGGTCAGTCCGAAGTTAATTGTTGAGTCCAATAAATTTCAGGTATCCTGAAGAGTTAAAACATCCTGAGCCCTGCACAGTGTGGACAGCATCCAGTCACTGGGGTGAAAAATGTATTAATTGTGAGATTTGGCTTCCTTCTGGTATGGTGGCATTGGAGTCCACGTCATTATTTTAATTTCTCCTTCAAAGTCAGCATCTATGACCCCTGGCAGCACAAAAGGACCCCTTATCACTGTAGAGGGTCATAATGCTACCTCTCCATGTCCGAATGGGCCATATGTGCCTGTTGGAATAAGCACAACTAATGTGTCTTGAATTATTGTCTCTCCCGAGGTGGGCAGGTCCACTCCAGCACCGCCGCTTGTGCTGGCACGCACACTGTGGCAGCTCCCAGAGGGGGCAATTTGGAGGGGTGATTTGTTGTCATGGCGCAGCCCCTTGCTGTGTTCTGCTTGGGGTTTCCCAGTAAAGTTAAAGGTTGGCCATCCCAGTCAAATTTCGATTGGCATTGACTTACATAATAACGCCCTTTATGACAGAGCGAGCAAATTCCAGGTGCTCTCCTTTTACTATTTGCTTTTATTTTTGGACAAATGGCCATACTGACTGCATGAATAGCACTGCTGTGACTTAGCCAACAATGCCACATATGCTTCATCAATCAGACACAGATTGTGCTGTCTAGACCCGACATTCATACAAGCACTTAACATACCATCTATGCTCAGATCTCGTAATGGCCGCAACACTTTCTGACAGTCAGGGTTAGCATTCTCAATAGCAAGTTGCTTGAAAATATATTTCTCATTATCAATCTGTTTCTCCAGAGCCTCATTATGTTGGTCTAAAAACTTCATAAACAGCTCGTTTGCCTCTTGTTTGATTCAGACAAAAGGCTGTCTCTGTTTACCAGCGTCGGAGAGAGTTTTCAAAGCCCGCAGTGACAATTGTTTAACTTGCTGCAAGCCCGCCTGGCAAATCCTAGCTTGCGCAGCATTGGTGCCAAAATCAGCCTGACCCAGTAATGCATAGGCAGTAACCGCTCACAGTGGGTCACATGCCCTCAATGCTAAGTTTTCAGCAGCCTGGGTGCCTGCAAGCTGCCTCATTTTCGATTCCCACATAGTACATTCCATGTCCATCATTATCAAATGAAACAATGTTATGAAAACATTTGGGATAAATGCATGAGTATCAGAGACAGAGTGTATCAAATGAGTTGTACACGTGGCCCTGAGTCCATGGTCCATCACCTTTCGCCTGATATCTTTGAGAAAAGCGCAGGAGAGACCTTCCCACTGCGGGTCTTGATCCGGCAGACAGACCACCGGGAAAGCACACAATACATCTGCATCCCTTGCCCGTCTCCCTACTCTCTTTACAGCTGCCTGTACACCATGAGGGTTTGAGGGACATAAATCAGGCTCTTTTTCTGGATCCATAGGTCCTGGGTCAAAAGGACCATCCAGGTCAGCATCAGAATTATCAGACATCAGAACCACAGGAGCAACAACAGCAGACTGATTTTCTGATCTCAAAGCAGAGTTCAGCAAAGAGGGCGGTGGTATGGGAGCAGAGGGTGCCGCTTCTGCTCCCTGTGCTTGGGAGGCGACATGATCTTTTAAAGTTTCATTTGCCAAGAGCTCAATAAAGCGGTGGCAACTTTATCGTTTTTTGTAGCACAGTCACATAAATTAACACCAATTTTGTCCCAAATCTGTGGGGTATAAATATTAGTGAAATTAATAGATGGATTGAGTTTTGATGCCCGGAGAAGGATATGTTTCAATTCTTCCTTGTCAACTTTTTTCCCATACTGCTTAAGAATCATAGCAAAAACTTCTAGAACATTTCCCTGCTCTTTTGTTAAAGCAGACCCCATAATTCTCAGCCGCTTATCACTGTCCTGTGAAAGCAATCTGTACAGTTTGAATTTGCTTCCTTTCAGTGTACACCTTTGCTTACTTTCAGCAAGCAGTTCTTCTGAGCCATGCCACCGGATCGACAACTAGCCGCATTTCATGCCCCACGTTGGGTGCCATTTGTGGCATTTCATAACATGGACTCAAGTTGATGCAGAGACTCAAATCTTCGTTTATTACCACCAAGCCCTTTTTATGCCCCTGTTCAGTACTCTCCCAACCTGCACATACATACAACATTCAATCTCATTGGCCCCTGTAAAACTCTCCAGGTAAACAGTCCAATCATAATGCTAGGGACTCTCTCACAACCCCCACATCACTGGCCTTCAATGCCCCAGTTTATCGCCCCAGGGCTTGTCAAAGCACCAAGGCCTCAGAGCTCATTCTCAAACTGTTCTTCATGGAAATCATCGCCTTCACTCCCCACACCTGAGAACAGATGAAATGTTTTACTTAACACCTGCAGTGGGACCCAGTTCCTTATGAAGTCTCTTAGTTGCAGCAGCAAGTGAACATTTATCACTGTCCCAAATAATCTGAGGTAACAAACTGGGCAGTAAGGACTGCAAAGTAAAAGAGAAGAGAATCCAAAAGCCAGCAAAAAAAAACCAGCTCATTTCAAAATCTGTGCAAGAATTTTTGCATAGTGCTTACTGAGATGGAGACTCACCCTGGGGTTTTAAAACCACCTTGAACAGAACTATCAGACTACTGCTGAAATACTGTTCTGCCCTTCTTCATCCCTGTAGTGCACCAGTACTTGCTAACCTTGCTTCACCATTAACAACTCTTCAGCCCGTTGTTAAAGGAATAGGCAGCAGTGGGGGAGGAAGGGCCTGCCCTCTCTGTGGTGACACAGCTAGACTGGCCTAAGCCAGCTTTGAAGATGCACCCTTAACTTCTGCTAGGCAGTATGAAAAATAGCAGTAATATTGAAGTAAGCATATAATATTTTCCAGTGAGCGTTTAGTTCTACTGTAAAAAGAAAATCCTTATTATTTTCCTTTTCCCTTTCATGGGACATAACATTTTTGCGATCTCAATACAGATTTCATGTGAAATTATGGTTCTGAGCTTACTGTTTCTTATTTTTTTTAACATCCTACTGTCTATGGAATTATCATGTCATCAAAGGGAGCATTCCTGACCCCAAACAAAGCCTACTGTGAAGGAAAACAAACATCTGTAGATTCGGAGTCACTGCCTACAGTCTGCATATACTTATCACCTGGTTCCAGAGTGAGCCTGAGTTTGGTCTTGGTTCGGAAGCTCTGTGAAGTCTGGCTCAGCTTACAACTGCTTTAGCATGTTGAACACACAGTCTTGAGAATGTTTTCCTAAGAAGTCCTCTGGTCTGACAGCTCCTCTAACCACAGACCTGAAGCTGTTCCACTCTCCCATTCCCATTAGTAGTAAAGTTAAGTCTTAAAATTGTAGTCTCAATTCTAAAGCACAATCGGGAAATAACATGAATTCAGAAGCCTCTAGGAGAAATACAAAATATTTGGCTTCCAGTTGGCTTCATTACCAAGTGGTCAACATAGCTTAAAATCAGTATTCTGCAAATGAAACGCAACCAAGTCAGCAAGACATGCTGATGAGAGATCAAAATTCTAGAATTCAAATGTAACATTAGTGGTCTCCCTTTTCTTCTCATTAGAGAAGAATAATTTGCTACATTTCATTACGATAAAGTGCAGTTCATTAAAAAGTGATGGACAGCTAAGCAATTGCCTGAACATAGTTGTTGTGCATCTTGAGGGTGAGCTCTGGCAAAAAAAACAGAAGCAAACAAGCAGCCACATTCATCCTAGGTTTACACTTCTCATAAACTCAGTAGCAGTAAACTTTGCCTTCCCACCACCTCATGCTGGCCATTGCAGGCACAGGAGGGATAAAGCCACCCTACTCCTGCATTCATGTCCATCTCTTCACAGGAGGAATTTCAAGATACTTCTTTTTTATGTCTTCTTTAAAAATCTTCTAGCATCTTTCACAAGGGAGGGAAGATCATAGGGATAATCCATAAGCCTGAGCAATTCACTGAAAACAAGGTTTTGTAACATCATGGCATACCCACAAGAAGTAAGTTAGTTTGCCATACGGTATGGCTTGAACACTGTGATTCAATCTGAAAAGCAATATACTCTGCATTAGGTGGGTTTTTTCTTTCTTCCTTGGCAGTTGGCAAATACCACTGTCCCTCAGCAGCACTAACCAGTCAGATCCTAACTGCTACCTGAATTTCTTTTGGCTCATTTCCCTCCACAGACTGAAATAAAAACCAATTCAGCAACTGTGTTTACTGTTTTCTTGCTGCCACATAGATGTTTATAAAGAATTTTCTACAAAGGGGATATCAAAATGTGTCCAGTCTTGTTGTCCAGGAATCAACAATATCTCTGATGGGAACTAATTTATGAAATGTGTTGCATCTCTAGAAAACTTGTTTCCTGTCACAAATGAGCATAAGGAGAAAAAAAAAATAATTGCTGAATAGGGGAAAAAATGTGCCTTTCAGCTTTGGTGTTGCAGAATGGCTCTAAGAGCAAGGCCATGGATCCTTAGAGGCCTTGTGCGAGCAAAGCAAGGCGTAGGCCTCACAGATAACCAGAAACTGGATGTGGGAGGAGAATGTGAAGGAAGCTGTGTAGAACTAACCAATACTGTTGTGACTAGCAGGCGTGGCTAAACACCACGCGGATATAAGCGAAGTGCACCACAAATAAAGTAAAAGTTTGCTTATCACCCATATTGGGTTGGCGTGTCTTGCTTCTCCTCGCCGCTTACAAATGGTGCCCGAACAGGGACATGGAATACAGGGCCCCGGTTAACGGGGACCCGGAATACAGGGCACCGGTTAATGGGGACCTGGTATACAGGGCCCTGAGTATCAGGGACCCAGAACGGCAAGTGAGCGGCGCCGGTGGCGGCGGCCGGGGAGCGCAGGCAATGCTACTGCGGTGGCGTGACGGACCCGGGTGCTTGGACTGACGGAAAGGAGTCCGCCGCTGGGGTGAACCAGACACTGCTGCATCGGGAGGCCGATCCGGAGACCGAGGTTACAGAACGATCCAGAAGAGGACGATCCGGAAAAGGCCGGCCATGAAAATGGACTGAGAGGTAGCCCCTGATTTATTACAGTGCTTTTTATAAAAGCGGGGAATTGAGCCTGAGACTCTAAAGCAGCTAGCAGGTCTAGTGGCTGTAGGGAAGGCTAAGGGATTTTTGTAGATCCTAATACAGTTTTTGAGGAGAGTGTGTGGCGAAAGTTTGGTGATGAACTATTTGACTCAATGCTTAATGATGATAAAATGGCAAAGAAACTCTGTAAACCACAGAGAGAAGTAATAAACTGTACAAAAAGATACAAGGCAGAAAAGAAAACTGCCGCTGTAGCAACGGAGAAACTAGGAACAGACGTCCCGGTCGGTTGAAGCTGGGAGAAGATTACAACTCATTTCCCCCAACTCGCGGGAGCATAGGGTTCCCCCCCCCCCCCTTCCTTTTCTCCCCCTCCTTCATCAGAAGGTGCCGCAGAGGAGGTGTAACCCCCTGTTCCCCCACCACCCCAGTTCCGAAAGTAGGGACCTTGAAAAGGACAGAGAAAGTATATTAGAAGGGATATGCATGATGAATGTTGAGGAAGCTGAAAGGAAGAGGGTGGTGCCTTGGTGCCGGATCGATTGGGGCGCCATTTTGAAGCACGCAGTAGAAAACAGAGATTATGCGCTAGCGGGAGATTTAAAGGAACTGCGAGCCTTTCCAACCCATTATGCCCTAGAGTGGAAATTTTTAACTCAGTTACGGAGGAGCCAGGTCTGCAGATGGCCACATACTGAACGAGAGACATCTGACAAGAAAGACATAGCTGCGAGCAATGGAGACCCTGAGTTCAGCCCAGGATCAGACCCCGAATCCCCTGAATCCAAGCCAGATTTACATCCTCTGCTTCCAGACTCTGACTCTTTGTCTCCCAGGTTGGTCTGCTCAGACTCACTGCCCCTGGAGACGCTCAGCTGCAACAATGGTTAATCAAAGATGCGATCATTACTGGTGAATTTTCTGCAATGGGCATCTCTGCATATCCTGTGTTTACTACACAGCAGGGGGCTAAAGAGTGGGAAGCTCTTGATCTCAAAATAGTTAAGGAGGCCTGACAAGCAGTGACCACGTATGGGTTAAAATCCTTTTATACTCAAGCTGTATATGTTATGATTTTTCTTGCAATTGACAGGGGGAGCCCATACAGATTCTCTGTGATGCTCATGTACTAGAAGTTGGTAAAAATAAGTACGTCCAGGTTTCTATCAACCTTTGGAGACCTTTGTAGATACTGCTGGCCACTTCTTCCAGCACAGGCTGGCCACCTGTGTCGGAATGAGTGTGCATTTTGGTCAGTATAAAAGCCCAAGCCTCAGATGATGTGGGGGAGGCAGAGCTTCTGCGGGGACGCCCGCTAAGGTTGAGCCTGCCACCTCGCACTGCAGTGATGCTTCTCGGAGCTGGTTTGCTATTAGTCTCCACAGGGTCCTTGTGCCACGTTCTGTATGTGGAACTGTAGTGGGAGTAATGATTGTCTGGATTTTGTGCTTCAAATATTGTAATTGTGTGGCGTGTACTTGTGGGATCCCATATGTGTGCGTGTGTGTGTGCTGAGGGCAGACGGTGTTCTGTGTATTTTTCTTGTTGGGTTCACGTAAAAGCTTTCAATCGGTAGCTGTTTAACATTTCAGGCATGAAAGGGTTAATGTAAAGGTGCGGTTGCCGGCGGGTATTTATGGTTGCTGCTGAAGCAGGCAGGCAGCTGTAGCTGCTGCCCAGCAGGCCGGCTTCTGCAGGGATTAAAAAAAAAAAAAAAGGGGGGGGGGGGAGAGAGAGGGAGAGTAATGATGCTGCATTTAACCTGTCTAACCTGTCTACTTCTCAAGAACTGATAACCTGGGGGAGGGGGTATATTTGTGTCCTCCTGCCTACAGGTCCATGGCGACTGCCTGCAAAGTTTGTGAAGCCTTGCCATGAGCTGGACAGACGAATGGAAAAACCTGATGCCTCAGCTACAGGAGCTGACTGTGAATACCCCAAGCAGAATGAGATAGAGGAAGAGAAAGAACGAATAACTGCAAAACATCACTTGGAGGTAACTGAAAAGTAACACCCTGAATATGTGTGCTTGTAAAGTAGCTATTATATTGTATATGAAACCACCTGTATTTACTAGCTAGTTGCTAATAAGAAACTACACCTTGTATTGTATAGATTTGTCACTTGTAAAAGAGATGTCAGAGTATGGAAATTTGCAGTAGCTGCTAGAAAAATGCTAAGGCAAAAGCTAGAAAGATTTTAATACAATGGTAGTGTTATAAAGCAGGTAATGGAACAAATTAAGTGGGTGGGAGAATTCCACTGGTAAGAAATTTCTTTGGCTAGTCCCTCACTACCATCAGCATCTTCAACATGCTGCTGCACCCTGTAATAGTTACTCTGCTAATGTAAATGCGTGTGTGCCTTGCTGTAGTAGCGACTTGTTACTGGATAAAACAGAAGGGGGGAGATGTGGAGACAGTGCTCTCACGGGAGAATGCACAATTGGTACATAAACTTTGAATAATCCTGAAAGATACAGCAAGGCCATGAGAGGCCTGAAGAAGCTTAAGCAAGCAAGATAAGAGGCTGGAATTCACCAAGTTAATGAGAACTGTGGACTGTCGGCAAGCTTTCAAGGTTGAGTTCTCACACCTGTGTTTAACCAATTATATGCTAGTCACTAAGGGTCTTCAAGGCATGTATCCCATCATATGCCAAATCACTGTAAGTGCTTCAGCCAGGGCCTTGGCTCAACTAAACAGACTGAGTTGCTGAGCAAACAAATACTACATCGAAGGCAATTTCTGATTTGTTGTTTAATGTTGACTCTGTAAGACATGAAACACTGCAGAACCTTTTGTTATTGGACCAGGGACATGGATGTGAAGAGTTTGATGGAATGTGTTGTATGAATCTTTCTGGTTATTCTAATTCGATACATGCACAGCTGAAAACCCTGGCTCAGCTTACCCAGCAATTGCA